AGTATAGATAAAGTAGATCTTAAAAATCAACTACAGATGATTTCTAACTTGACTTATTTAACAATCTGGGGAAGATTTAAAGAAATGTGCTTTGGATTTCACAGAGAGGAGGGATAAAAAATCTCTGAAATTAAAAAGATAAACTATTAAGACAATGTTCATTGGGAAAGGGGAGATAGCTTGGTGGTTACTAGCAACTGATGCTCTGGTAGAGAATCAGGCTTTTATTCTCAGTACCCATCTAGTTTCAACAGCCGTCTGTAACTGCAGTTCCAGGGCATCCAATACCTTCTTCTGTTCTCCACAGGTACCACACACGTACATGGTGCAATATGTACATTCAAGCAAAACATTCACACACAAAATAAAATGAATAAACTTAGTTAAAATTTTTGAAAGGTATTGGCTATTTAGCCAATAAGTCTTTGCTCAAATGCTATTTGAGGAAAGTTTGGCACACAGGTTTTCTGGAGATAATTTAAGATTAAGTGAATATTAAGTTTTTGTAAGGTACAGATGAGTTAGTGGTGGGCATTTATTTAGGAGCACACAGCAGAGCAAAATGTGGGTTTTGGTTTGTTATTGTTACCTTACATCAAAACATTTTCCTTTTATTAACCAGAGCAGAGAACATATTACTGTGTATGTCTTTGAGAACACAGTAAGTGGGAGACTTTTACTTGGGTAGATTTTTAAGGACACATATTAGCCATGGTTTTACCAAAGATCCACTCAGTGGGTCAGCAGCCAGCTTTTTAAAAAGACTTTACTATGAGAGAGTAAACTCATTTCTTGTATAGGTGTGTGTGTGTGTGTGTGTGTGTGTGTGTGTGTGTGTGTGTGTGTGTGTGTGATATGCCTGTGGATGTATATGTATGTAGGAGTGCACATATGCATCAGTGCATATGTTAAGGACAGAAGTTGATGTTGGAGGTTTTCCTCTCTTCTCCAACTTATAACATCTTTCACTGAAAATGAATCTTGCCATTTCATCTGGGCTCACTGGCCAATGTGGCTCCATGACCCACCTGTCTCTAAGCCCCTAGCATATGAAGTTACAGATATGTGCCACTGTAGCCAGATTTTACATGGATGTTGAGAATCTGAACTTATGTCCTCATGGTTGCACAGCAAGCACTTTACCCCCTGGGCTATCTCTCTAGCCACAAATTAATTTCTTAATGGGATAGCTCATAGCATAGGAATCAACTAGCATTTGATTATTCCATGGTCATTTCAAGTGAATCCCTGAAAATATATTCATTTTAGGCAATGGCACTACTTATTGGAACTTTGCCATTACTAACTTCTATCTCCACATTCCACTCTGCCCTGAATCTTTTCATTGTGCCCATCCGTTTTCCACAAAATACTCTAGGCTCATATTCAGAACAGTGGATTTGAATTTTGATTGTTCTGCATATTAGAGCTCTGAATTTGAGCATGTTACATAATCTCTGCAAAGATGGAGGTGGGAATAACATCCATGGTTGTTATGATGCTGAATGAGAAAATTTAGATTGCAAAATCCATTTATAGTGAAGTGATTTATGACCTTAATGAACATATTGCTATTGTTACTGGTGGGGCATTCCATCCACTGAGATAATGGCATTGCAATAGCACGATCTGGAGATGTGTCTAGTCACTGCGGATGGGTCACATGGAAGGATGGTTTAAAGTAATTTTAATTCTCTTTACTGCTGTATTACTTGTCTCTTTTCCCCTGAGGGCTAAAGAGAGTCTACCAAGGTGGGTGCTATTTGAACTCTTGTAAATTATGCACAGATTTTGTGATGTTGTAATGAGCAATGATAAGCACCATATGCCTTACACAAGTCCCAAGATGCTCCAGTATTAACCCCTGTCTTCCTCCCAACAACCTTATAAGTGGTACAAGTTCTTTATTACCCCTAGTGTAAAGGAGGAAAAACTGAGGCACAAACTTGGGTCAATGGCTAACAGGGTGGTTCAGTTGTCAAAAGTGCTTGTTCTGCAAACCTGAGGACATGAGTTCAATCCCCAGATCACACAGTGGAATGAGTGAATTCCTGAAAATTGTTCTGTGTCCTCTTCGAGCATACGATAGCATGCATACACACACACACACACACACACACACACACACACACACCACAAATAATTTCAAAACCAGGTCTAGATATGTAGCCAGTTTTACAAGTCAAACTTTAATTCTTCATACTCTCCATTCATCTTTTAGGGAAGAATTTGGTGAATGGATACAGGAAGTATGGCATATTACTTGGGTCTTAGATATAGGGAAATGTATCTCCTCTTAGATAAATGATGCCCCTGTCCACATGCTCATGGAACATGGAACTTGGTGGGTTTATTTGTTGTTGTTGTTCATTTGCTTGCATTTTTAAATTCTTTTTTTTTTTTGGTTTTCCTTTTGATAAAACTCCGATGTCTATTGCTGTGTATAAATTATACGCTAGGGTGACTTCTTTCTCTTCTGAGCCTGGGATTCAGTGAAGGAAACTCAACTCGTCTGAGAGGCCCAGTCATCTCAGTCACTACTGTGCATGAATTAATTACAACAAAGAGTTCCAAACCCTATCCAGAGACGTGACACAGCCCATGTATTCTGCATATTTTCAGGCTTGCATTTCCTTTGCCTTGGGTTTACACACTGTGTGTAGTCATTCTTTAATTTAGACACATTCTCTTCATTTAAGCTATTCTTTTATGCCTTTACAAATATGACCACTGAAGTCTCATGTGTCAGGAACACCTTGGAATATTTCCAGAAGCCTGGCTAACATGACCAGTAAGTGGCCTTTGTTTGTTGAGTTTTTAGACTGAAGGAGAAGACAGGCAGTGAGCAAATAATACCACAAGTAGAAGTAACACAACCTCCCCGGGTAGTGCTACATGATGCTCCAGGGAGAGATAAGAAGAGATTTGGACATACACTTGACAATCAGTTTGTTTTCTCCTTCTGTCTTTGGCCATGCCCAAGATGTCAGAGATTCTGAAAAAGCAGAAAGAGGATTAGACCTACTGGATGGGCAACAGAGCTTAAAAAAAAAAAAAAAAACTACACAAAACACAAGCTAACCCCAGGGAATAGCAACAGGGAAAAACAGACTTCAGCAGGCTAACATGTCTCAGCCTTTGAGTATGTGTCACTGTATCAGAGAAGACTAAATGATGTGTATGATAGCCACCACTTCCGAGAAAAACTACTGTGTAGTCATTCTGCTGCACCTAGTAAAAGATGGAGGAAAGTCATTTACATGACACAATTAAGTATTATTATGTGAAACTTTGTGTGTTGGTTTTCTAGTCATTTATCTAGAATGCTGTGCACACAAGATTGTTATGCTTATTTCTACAAATATTTTTTATAGCATGAGTATTAACTGAAAAAAGCACTTGTAAATGAGGACACAGGAGACCTTGTTTTCTCATTCCAGCTGGTAGCCAGGCCATAGTTGAAAATAACCAAAAAGATCCTCAATATTCTCTTATGAAAAATGCTACAGCAGCATTCACCTGTCTATCCCACAAGACTCTCTTACATGCCCACATTCATTCAATTAACATTGATTGTTAGCTCCCCTGGTGGATTGAGAAAAATAGTAGTGTGTAAAGGAGACCTAGCCTTTGACCTATGGAACTGACAGTTCAATGTCAGGGACTAAAAATTCATTTCCGTAGGATTTATTTTTGATTTGTCCTTTGACTGAATTGTTTGTCTCTTAGAGTTCTTATGATATGTTCCCTAACTTCAGTCAGATTTCTGTTTAAACATCATCTTTGGAGAACTGTAATATGTGTCATTTATCATACCTTTCCCTTGCTTTACTCTTCTTCCTACCTTTTGTCACTCTTTGCCTTAGTTGTGTTTCCTGTCACTGTGATAAAATACCCTGACCAAAGAAAGCTACTTGGGGGAGAATGGGTTTATGTTAGCTAACAGTTCCATCATTGCAGGGAAGTCAAAGCAGCAAGGGCTTGAGGCAACTGGTCACATTGAGTCCATAGTTAAGAAGTGGAGAGGCATGGATTAATGCTTGTCGTCAGCTCTTTCCATTCTTACAAATAGTTCAGGGTCTCCTGTCTAGGGAATGGAGCCACCCACAGTGGATGGGTCTTTGTACCCCAATTAACATAATAAGACAATCCCCCAGGCAAGCCTACAGACTTTCCTCATCTAGACAGTCCTGCACTAGGAATGTCTTCCCAAGTGATTCTGTATTGTGTCAAGCTGAAAATTAAAACTATCACACCATTTGTCAATATTGTTTAGAACTAAGCCTGAAGTGTTAATCATTCATGTAAAGACTGTCTGTCTTGATTCTTGGTATTCTGTATAGAACAATTTTTTGCACATAACAGACAATAAATATTTGCTGAATGTAAGTGACACTATCACATAAGTGACAACCACCAATCACGATAAACAAAAGGAATAGTGGTAAGTTATTTGAATTTGAAAAAAAAAAACTGCTAACAGATAACCTATCCCAATTTTAAGTGCTTTTTATTCTGCTTTATATTCATTTCCCAGAAGTTTCTCTTTATATATACCCATAGTTTATAATATTGAGCTCTGTATGTGTGGTTTTATACCCTTTCACCCCAGAAATGTCTCTCTGAAGTAGAGAGTTCTAGCATTCCCAGTGAACTCTAGTGAGATCTCCTGAAGGCTCCTTAGTCTTTGTATGCTCTTTTAAATCATCTGCCATATGTGGTACCTGCAGGACCACTATGCATCTTGCATGATAGAGTTCCTCTACCCTTCTCTGGGTTCTCAGAACCTCATATTTTGCTCTCTAAAATTGTGTATTTGTCTTTACTTTTTTGAATATTCTTGGCATTTATTTTTTACCCTGACATGCTTTCATTTTCTCTCAATTTTCAAGATTTTTAAAAAATGTTTACTGTTTGATTGTCCCCTGTGAATGGTATCCTTGTTTTATTATACATAATCCAATTTTATCCATTCTCTCTCTCTCTTTTATAACCAACAGTGTGGGGATGTGACAACTGCAGGACTATCCTATCCAATCCTTCTGGAACCTTTACTTCTCCATGCTACCCTAACGACTACCCTAACACTCAGTCTTGCTCATGGACCCTCCGAGCCCCTACTGGCTACATCATCCAGATAACATTTAATGACTTCGACATTGAAGAAGCTCCCAATTGCATCTATGACTCAGTATCCCTTGATAATGGAGAAAGCCAGACAAAATTTTGTGGAGCAACTGCCAAAGGCCTGTCATTTAACTCAACTGTGAATGAAATGCATGTGTCTTTTTCAAGTGACTTTAGTATCCAGAAGAAAGGTTTCAACGCCAGCTACATCCGAGGTATGTAAACCACAGATGGTACCAGTCTTCTGCTTCCACTTAACATGTGCTGCAGTAAATGCCAGGGCTGGAGGACAGAACTATGCTCTTTTATGTGAATGGGAATGGTCAGGATCAGGATTTAAGGATGAGAAGTAATAGTCTCTGAGACTCCTCATTAGCAAGCTAGAACTACTAGATCCAAACTCTTGTTTCAGAAGAGCTGAATTCTAGATTGTCTGTCTGCAGAACATCTTTATTTTCATTTTTTTAAAAGTCAAGGTCTTACTTTACAACCATGGCTGGCCTGAAACTTGTTAAGTAGACCAGGCTGGCTTCAAACTCACAGAGACATGCTTGCTTTTGCCTTCCAAGTATGGCACATGCCCAGCTCTGCATAAAATAAAAATAAAATTTAAAACAGGGGCAGACTAGTAATGGTTTTAAACACCACCATTTAGAAATTATTTTATTTTGGACATTTAAGATGCTTCCCTTAAAGTAAATTTCCTAGAGGTCAAACAGAAAATTCATATGTAAGGGAAAGACTGGGGTACAGAAATCCTGAAGGCATGAGATTTGTCTGGAAATGTTTGAGAGTGTAAAAGGCAACTGTTAGTGCAAGTAGAGCTAGTTTGTGTTCAGAAAGTATTTTTTAAAAATAGTGTATTTTAAAAATCCATAATATGCAAACAAAATCATCCTAGGTCTTTCCTCATTCAGGAGTTTTGTTTTTTAATTTTTAATGCTTTTGTTCAGAGATGAATATAATACCAACAGGGCTGTCACTCATTTCATTGTGAATGAAATCATAATCAAAGATGAGCAGGGTGGGATTGCTTATTGTTATTTTTCATGTAGTACGATTGGTAAAAGATTGGTGATAGAGGAGAGGCAGAGGGGGATCGCAAAGACTCACAGAGTGAGAAAAGTTAATTTGAAGAAAGTAGTAGAGAACTGAAAGATAGGAGACATTTTGCATCTCAGCTCATATTCTGGAATTCTGCTGACTTTATGTTTTTTTCCTAGTTGCCGTGTCCTTACGGAATCAAAAGGTCATTTTACCCCAGACATTAGATGCTTACCAGGTATCAGTTGCTAAAAGTGTCTCCATTCCTGCGCTCAGTGCTTTCACAGTGTGCTTTGAAGCCTCCAAAGTTGGCAATGAAGATGACGACTGGATAGCTTTCTCCTACTCCGATGAGTCCCTCACACAGCTGCTCAGTTTTGAAAGGGCCAACAATGGCTACTTCCTGTCTATTTCTGGCTCAAGATGCATGCTGAACAGTGCATTGTCTGTGAAGGAAAATGAAGACATCTTCACAGAAAACTTTGAGCAGCTCTGTCTCGTGTGGAATAATACTTTGGGCTCTGTTGGTGTAAATTTCAAAAAGAACTATGAAATGGTTCCATGTGATTCCACCATGAGTACAGTCATAACTGGGGATGGGACATTGCTGTTGGGCTCCAATAGAGATGAAATTGCCTCTCTAAAAGGCAGCATCTATAACTTTCGACTTTGGAATTTTACAATGGATCCGAAAGTCCTCGCCAACCTCAGCTGTAGTGTGCCTGGGAATGTTGTGGACTGGCACAATGACTTCTGGAGCATCTCAACCCAGGCTCTTAAAGCTGAGAACAACCTGAGCTGTGGTAAGTCTGTGACACAGATTTCACATGCTTCACATCTTTAGCAACATTCAGTGAAAATATTAGTCATTGAGAAATTATATATAAATATGCATACATAGTATCATGACTAAGGGCTCTTTTAGCTTTACAACTGTTACCAGTTTAGCCATTCACAGAGTAGATTTGATGATGAGCCATGTTTACTTAGTGAATGTGGGCTTGCCATTCTAAGTATTCCCTAGGTCACAAAATATCACAGTTTATCATTAACAAAACAGTCAAAATGATTGGCCCAGGGGTGAAAATTTTAACACCAGATTTGAGTTACAAGAAATTAACAAGTTGTAAATTTTACTCACCAATATGTCACCCTAATATACTGATCTTTTTCATTCTGAAACAGAATTTCAATTGCATTGCCTAGATAAACAAGTCACTATGTAGGACAGTGTTTATTCAGCCAGAGTCAAATATCCACCTGTCCATTGTATGGGAACTTTTGATTCATCTAGAATTACCACATTTTTCTTTGAACTTTCATCTCTATTTGTTTGACAGCAAATATTTGTGGTTCATGTCAATACTCTTCCCTTATAGGTTGTTCTTTAGGAGGCTTTAACTTTGACATTACTGGTAATAGCTGAATGCAAGCTTTATGGAAAATGATTATATGTAACAAAGAGTATATTGAAATAGACTTCTATTTAGTATTCTTTATATCATACAAGTCAATCCTAGAAGTCATGTTTTATTATAGGACTGATTTAAACACCTATAAAAATGGTGCTGCTATTGATTTAAAATATCATATCATGAATTCTCAGGTGTTGGTAGCATATCTTTTAGTTAAAGACAGAGGCCTGCTATTCAAAAGAATTTGTATGTGATATTAGAAAAAATCCTTCAGACCAAGGTTTGGCAAAGTGGGAGGGCTCACGGCAGACAACTCAATTTATAAATAAAGTTTTATAGGAACACAGCTATGCCCATAGATTTATGTACTGTAAGTCACTGTAACTGTGCTAACAGGGCCAAATTGTCTGATGCTGACAAGTATGGCCCATTATCTTAAAATACTTGCTTCCAATTCCTCTAAGTCCCAGCATCCTGAAAGATTTACTGTTGATCTTCATGAGCAAGCTTATTGAACCCCAAAACTAACCCAAAGAATCCTGAGTTGTTGAAACTTGCACTTTAAACAGCAGTAGAAAAGACACTCCAGATGTAGGGACGAAAACCCCTGTGTGTCCTTAGACTTGGGAGGTGCCAGTAGATTTATATGTGTTCTTTACCTGCATTAGTTACACACTGTATGCTTCAATTGTGACTTTATTACCAACTTTGAAAGATTAGATTTCACATAAAATGAATGATTCGATTCTTTGACAAATACAAATACCTTGCCAATATTTCTGCATGGATAACAGCGCTGGAGCTATGTTGTGGCTATTCCTGTTGAAGAGGCTTAGAGTTCACCTCATCACACTTCTGTCCTCTGTAGATGCTGTAGCTATGCCTGCTTAGGGGCTGGCTATAGCATCCCTTACAGTCCTCCCTCTCTGGTTTGCTTCTTCCTCTTCAGGCCTACCTTCCCACTCTGGCTGGCATTTAAATGTGAAGATCTCAATTTAGACCACTCCTTTCAAATAGGGAGGAAAATGAAGGATAGAACACATGAGCTGTTGAGGAGGTTAATTTGTTAACACATGCATCGTTAATCCATATTGAGCAACCTCACCATTTTTTTAAAAAAATTAATTAATTGAAACTGTTTTTGATTGACAAAATTGTATGTATTTATGTGGCATGGCATTTTGCTATATGCTTTGTGAAGTGGCTAGTTCAAGTTACTACATCATACTTAGTCACATAGTGAGAAAATTTTTAAGTCTTCAACGATTCCCTTTTAGTGTTTTGTATCCAGAGAAAGGAACACAGAGACCTGTTACACCATCAGCACCCTCTCAGCAACTTTAAGCACACACTACATCACTTTCACCAACAGTCCTTATGCAGTGTAGTAGAACCTCTAAACTGATTATTCCAGCTTGTAATTACTCCTTTGGCTGGTAAAGGCCAGGTGGCCCACCTTCTGCCTTCCAGCCCCTATGAATCAGCGTTCTACTCTATTTCTGTGAATTCAACTTCTTGGGATTCCACACATAGGTGAGGTCATGCATTCCTTCTATTTTCTTAAACATTATCCACCTTTGAGGTTCTCATCCTAAAGCCTAAAGATTACCAGGATGTATCAAATGTGTGCTCACGTATCTTAGTCATCTGTATGTCTGCAAAACAATTTTATCATAGGAGCAGCTCAGTCTTATGAACTCAATGCATTTGAGTCTCAGTAACTTTATAGCTGTCATCTTGACATTCAGGGTGACACTATTCCCTGCCCCACCCTCCCATGACTATGTGCCCCCAGATGTCTTGCTGTGCGTGTCAGTTGGATTGGTGGGAGATGGAATTTCCTGCTGCTTAATCATCAGCCTGGGGCTGAAGAACCCAAGTCACTTATGAACGGACGGGAAATACCTGTACAAAGATTGTGTCTTGGCCGTGTTGGTTGAGCAAAACTTCAATAATCAAGAAAAATAAAGTGTGTCCTATTAACATTTTAACCTCTTCCCCCCCTTTCCGGAAAATATTGTGGTTTGCTGTTTATGGTCATCATAATTCCGCATACTCTCAGTGAGTACAGTAACCAATGGTAAAGTGCAGTCTCATTCCTTGCATTCCAGTAGACTGGCATGTCTGCCAAGTATTGACTATTCTAGTACCCACTTGTGGTAGAAAATGAATATGTTTTCCATCTGTGCTACTGGATAAATTATATAAAGGGAAAGTAACGGGGTAAGACAGGACAGATTACATTTAATATTTAAGTATGCTGTCATTTATCTCATGTGTTAAATATAAAACCAATGTCATCAGTAAATGTTTCAGTAATTTTATAGTCACACTGCTTTGTTTTCCTAGATTTTTTTCTAAGTATGTGGATACTTTTTTTTTTGACTGGTTTGTCTTTTTAAAAATCATAGTCAATCCTGTCAGTTCTTTACTGATACAAATGTGGTAGCATCAATAGTTTTTTTTTTAAGTTATAGCAGCTTTATTTTTCCTAGAACAATTTTCAACCATATCCAGTATGACCTTTAGGAACAGGTCATTTCCTTTTCTGACCCTTTAATTATAGGTACAAGTATTTGCCTGTGTTGTGATTACGGTTTAGACACTGGCTAATGCCCATCCATTTTCACAAAGAACAGACAGTACTTTCTTTCTGGTTTTATTTATTTAACTGATTGCTGCTCTTTCCTGAGGAGTGGTACAGTATAACTCAATGAACGGTCGAAGTTCAGGCAAGTTACATTTATTTGTCCAGCGTTTCTTAAGCACATCCATCTCTTAGTCATTGTGGATGTAGAGATAAGGCACAAGTTGTAAGTACTCAACTTTATTGTTACTCTTTTCTAGAGGTTTATGGATTTTCACTGGATTTTCATTGTAAACTCTAAAATTTTGCTTCTGATCACTAGGGCCCCATTTCTCTCTAATTCCCGTCCTTTCATAAATAACTATATAATATACTACAGTCCTGACTTTCACAACTCTGAAGTTCAATTACTGGTCCTTAGTTTCATGCACATCCAATGACTGAATTCACCATTATTAGATTAGTAGATCATTTTTTACCTGAAAATATAATTGTTTTATCATGACATCACATTATTCTTTAAGGGGTGCACAAACTCATTATGGGCATAGGTGATCTTCAGATATAATTGCACATACAAAATAATAAAAATGTCATAAAATGAAACTGAAGAGATAGCTCCAAGGACCTGAGTTTGGATTCTGGCAACCACCTAAAAAGCCTATAATCCCAGCAGTGGAGAGGCTGGGACAGGAGGGTCTCTGGGGGCACCCTAACCAAGAAGAGTAGTGGAATCAGAGAGTTCCAGGTTGAATGAGGGAGTCCACATCAAAAGATAAGATGGAAAGGAAAGTGATCAAGGAAAATACCTGGCATTAACGTTTTTTTGTTGTTTTTCGAGACAGGGTACCTGGCGTTAACTTAGTGGCCTTCATACACATGTGCACATGGTTGTACAAACCTACATATATATGAACATACACACCCAGTACAACACAAAAGGGAAAAATGTGAAAATCATAAAATAATTTTATAATACATTAACTTATGAAATTCACCTTAGCAACACCAACAAAAGAGAAACTTGGAGAGGATTATATTTTCCTGAATTTTTTTCAACTTATTGTGTACTATTATTAAAATTATTAATTAGGGTGTGATATGTGCTGCTAGCTACATATCAGTGAGTTCTAGCATAACCTGTGTAAATGGAGTGTCTCCTTTTAGTAGCCTGCTGGGAGAAGAGCAGTGGAAAGAAGAGCCCAAAGCCTTTGAGGGTTTTTTGCTTTGTTTTGTTTTGTTTTCAACTGCCCTTTTTCATCTTTTGAGACTAGATCCCTAACTGATGCTGTTCTGAAAGCCCCTCTCTATCCAGGATAAGCTTGATGTAATCCTCCTGTCTCCACCTCCCAAGTGCTAGGAAACATCCTGCTATACCAGGTTCATGCAGTGGAGTTGGACCGAAAGGCTTCATGGGTTCTTGTCTGGCACTCTACTGACTGAGCTGTATCCCTAGTCCTAACGAATCATTTTCAAGATTTTTTTGTTTTGTTTTGTTTTGGTGTTTTGAGACAGGGTTTCTCTGTGTAGCTTTGGAGAAGTTTTTTTTTTAACAAAAAAGAATAAAATGTGACTCTAAATTTTGCTGTTAGGTAACACACTTTCAATACCTTTAGTAGACTCAAAAGCCAGACAACACACAGAGATCACACAAGCACCATTGTTGATTGATAGGTCATTGTCCCAAAAGACCAGTTTGCCTCTTCTTTCACAGTCTCCCTATTGGTAAATCTGTAAACCTAGAACCCTGGATATTGAAAACACAAATGAATTATAAATGAAAATGTTGTGTATGTTTGGGGCACCTACATTTTATTTGAGGTGGTCTCTTGCAATGTTCACCACACTAGCCTTGAATTCCTGTACTGAAGTGGCCCTCCTGTCTCAGCTTCCTGAGTAGGTAAACCTGAAATGGCATGTCCCCATACCCAGCAGTATTTACCTTTTGTATTTCATGTATTTGCTTACACAGTCCCAGGCATTTGTAATATCAAATTTTGCCAGTGTGATTTTCTTCTAATTAAATTATGTCACTTGTTTTTGTGCCATGTACACTAAAAAAAATTCAAATGTAATTTCTATTGCTTCATGAGATCATAGTACAATGGTATCTGTTCAGTATTTATACAACACCAGCAATTTGATAAACTTGACCTTCCCCTAGAAAGAACAACTAATTAAAATATTCAGAAGCAAGTGTTTACAATTTCCCCTGAGAGGAAGCCACAGATTGAAATGTATACAATGAATCTGATAAAATGGTCAAGAGCTTGTTCTAAATCATGGCTCCTCTGACATTTCCCCGTATTCCCACCTCTGAGTTCCTAGATATACTGGAGTGGAAACGGAGTTAGCCTAAGAACTTCTTTCCCACAACATTGTCCCTTATCTCTCTTTGTCTTGGAGAGATACCATATCAGTTTCTGAAGCCTCCAAGGAGCCCTGGACTGCCAGCATTGTGTGTAATCTGAGACCTACGGGAACCTCATCCAAGGGTCTCTGCTGTGCTGTGTTTCAATAGCTGAGATTTCTCCAGTCACACGAGTCTGATAGGCTTGTTAGTTTTCAGAAGTCCTTTGTCAAACATAAGTGCCTGTAGACATGAGGTCCTGAAAAAAGTGGACTTGCTCAAGGGGCAGAAAGCTCTCAAGATAAGTTCTCCCTCTATCTCCCGCCCTTGCTCAGTTTTGCCACATTACATGCCTTTCCCAGGCAGGGTGCATGCATGCTTAGGTTTTCAGTCTTCAAAACTGCCCTCTCTATCTCTGCTTCCTTACACAACCAGGTTTTCTCCTGTTGCATTCCAGTTCCAAAACTCTGCAGTCTGCCTTTCATTGTTCCCACGAGACCGACACCAGTTCCTGTACAGTGGAGTTAAAGGTCTTTTCAGTCTTTATCACTTCAGCCTTTCAGTTCCACTCATTGTTGCCACGCCCTCTACCTAACATTCTTTACTTAAATTCCCCGAAGCCACCTTGACCAAGAGCTGCTTTTAGCTCCCCAAATCTCCGAATTGGAAACTTAAATATGGCAATAGCTGAAGTTCAGTCCTTTCTCTTCTTGAACCCATAGTCTGGTGAACACAAGCTCGTCAGTACCTTTTGTTGACTGGTCCCTGAACAGAAAGACAGATTCTCACATGTGGATTATAGATGTCCAAAACAGGCAAATGGCTTTCCTTGCCACACATGACAGAAGATAATCAATCTATGCTCTCTGTTTCCTTTCTCCATTTGTGATGTCATCATGCCCAGTTTCTCAAGGTGGAAACCAATTATTTCTTCTCTCCATCTTTCCAATTAATCACCAAATCTTACACAATCTGTCTTCATATTACTTGTGTCCATCTCTTTCAGTCTGTCTTCTTAAGACTCAAGATGTAAAACCTGAATGATTAATATTATTTTAACTTCTCGCATCTCCCCACATCAAAAGTTGTTATTTTCAAACTGCAGTCTATTGTTTTACCAAGTGCCCTTTCATTTAAATTCCAATTGCTTTGAAAAAAGAGTTGAGATTAAATTTAGCTGTCATTTATAATGTGCTTAGTTCATTCGTGGCTTCTTTAGTGAAGCTTGAGCATGTACCTACTGTGTATGGGGTTCACATCGGGAGAATGACTTGGAGCCTCAGTGTTCCCGCTGTTTGTATCCTAGAAGGCTGCACTGACATATATTTGATCATTCCCACACTTTTCTGTAATTGCTGTAATCCAGTGTACCTCTTCAGTACCACATGGGCACATGTTTCAGAAATCCTGTCTGATTGCCTCAGAGCTCTTGCAACCTCAGTCCTATGTGTTGTATTTCCTGTTCTTTCTCTCACCAAGCTGATGTCACAGCTTCCTGTTGGCCATCACCACCGTCTAAACTCTTCACTAGGCTCTTGGACATATGTTACAGTGAGGCTAGCTTTCACTGTTCTTTGAAAGTAGACATGGCAGCAGAAAATTTTCTGTCCTCCACATCTCATAAGCTGTAGGTAAAATGTCTGTGTTTGTTGCTGGAATCCCTGAAGTAGTTTTTTGGTTTTTGGTTTTTTTTTTTTTTCCCAACAAATGTCACATCATGGACATGTCTGAAGGGCTCGGCCTTTCTAATGTGCCTAAATTCTTCCCGTGAGGCATCTGAGAAGGAGGAAACCATACATCTCTAGATGCCGTTAAACTATTGAGATGTTTTCTGTTTGTGTCTGTCACTTACCTAATTAGACATACTCTGTGAGCTCATTTACCTGCTCTGCCTTCACGTATTATTCCCATGGGAAAGTTGGACAAATGGGTAAACATTAGAATGAATTCACCACTACATAAATGTCTTTCAAAATTAGATAAATAGTATGTATGTTGTATGTATAACATATATATTTGAATTAATTATATCTTTGTTCAAATGCCCTATTATTTGCAATAAGTTTAGCCCATAATTAGCACAGAAAGATTTAGAACAAGAGAGAGCATCTGATAGTTTTGCTAGAAAAAAAATCAGCTCAGTGTCTGTTTCCTGTTGAGGAGGGATCAGTGAAAACTTGAAGTCAAAAGAAACAGGAATGACTTGAAATCACACAAAGATATTTCTGGAATTGCAGAGTATAGACATGAACAAAAAACAATCTGCATTTTGTGAGCAATTCATATTATCCAAGCTCTGTTTTGAGATGTACCCTGAATATTATTTTATTTACAAGAATTGCTACCTGAGTCTTATAGTTCATTATTCCAAAAGGCCCCAAACGTTTTTTACACCAACTTAAAGGGACCACCACTTGTCTTTCATGTGTGAATGGATGAAAAACAGAGCTGAAGATTTTGAAGGTGATGTCAGTTCTTCAGTTTTGTATTTGATGAAACTAAGGTAACCTTACAAGACATTTCATATTGGAGCACTGTCAGTCAACTCTCTGAACATTGTTTTTACCTCACCAATTACATGATTCATAATATTGACTTTTTGGATAATATCAGCAAATCACAAGTTAAATTTACTTATGCTTCTGTGTTGGCCTAGGTTCCTACCTCATCCCGCTCCCTGCAGCTGAGCTGACGAACTGTTCAGATCTGGGGACTCTCTGTCAAGGTAGGGCACAGACATCATCTTCCTGAACCCTTTTATGTTCTTATGCTTGCTGTTTGGGATCATGTAGTTGTCACTGCTTTTTTTGTTTGTTTGTTTTTTTTTTAATCTTACCTTTCAATTTGAAACATAGAAATGTCAAAACAGAATGTCTGTGTGTGTTTTAGTGGCGTGGGCACACAGTCCCAGTGTGCATAGATAATGTGCTGTCAGAACATATTGGCCACACTGGCCGCATTTCCATAAAACACGGGGTTTTCTAAATGTGGATGGTTATGTGCTTCTTAAAAGGATTGGTTTAATCTCAAGATTGGTTTAATCAATTGGTTTCTGCTCAAGAATAGTGTCTTGGATATACAGTTGTGCAGTATTTTGAAGAAGTGCTCATACCCGTAAATTAAGGGGAAAGCTTATATTGAATACTTAGTTAAAATCTGAAGATGAGGTCATGAGGCAATTTATATTATATCATATAGCTTGAATCTTAAAAACAGGTAAACAAATGTTAAAATTACTATGTTAATTATTTTGGTGCTTAATGGTTATATTGTGGGTAAAATTTTTTATGTACTAAGTAGTTGCATGTTAATAATATAGTTACATATGTATGCAACGTGTAACAAAAATAACAATATAAATATGTTGCTTAAATTTATCATTACTCCTAATTTTTGTGACCGTTTTTTTATCCATTGTCATGCTAAAATCCTCTATAAAAACTAGCATCCTTCTATGTTCCACATGAGAATCATGGATATTCCTTTGCATAGAATGTGGCTTTGTTAAGAGGATCATGGCACAAAGGTGACAGATTAGAAGCAAGAACAAGCAAGTACAATTTAGGCTCTTTGTAGTCTGAAAGACAGCCAGACAGGGCCAGGAGGAAACTGGCTATTTTTGGATTTCCCTTCTAAGATAGCGTGAATATTATTACCAATCAATTTCCCATGAAAATTACATTGTTTTTTTCCATGAACTCCATGCAGTTATAAAATAGTTGTATAAAATATACCAGAAGACCTTTGTCCAAAAGTTTTACAAATTCATTAATTTTTATTACTTTAATGTAATTATATAAAGTATTTATTCTGTGGACCAAAGGAGAAACTCAGCTTTCTCTTCATTTAGTCCCTGTTTTGTCCTTAAGGAACAAAAACAATTTCATAATGCTTTTGCATTAAGATGAACACGATTGTTCACAACTTAAAAAAAAAAACAACAAAGTTATTTCCATTGTTAAGTTTTCATATTATTCTAGAATGGAAAATCATTGTCACTACATACATTTCCCATCAAGGAGTTCAGCATTTTCTCTGATGCCTTGGGAAGGCAGTCTGTGGATCAGCTTTTTATTGTTTTATACTTAAGTAATATTTAAATTAAAAAGATATAACAGATAGTCATTGTACACATGGCTGTGCGCTAACACAAATGATAAAATAAACAAATGATAAGATAAACTGAAGGACTGATATGTGCTTGCTTAATTTTCTTCTTACTGAGGCATACAATCTCCAAGAAAGAAGCTGTTGAAACATTGCAGGAGGGTTTCTTGTTTGTGCATTATAAAGTCAGACAATCAGCACAGACATCCGACTTAGAAACGACCTCCCTTTAGATCCATATTTCCATATCCTTATGGAATACTTCCCTCCCAATAGTGTATGTGAAGCTTCTGGGGCTTCCAAATGATTGATTTAGTCCACGCACACCATTCCCTTGTTTTTCTTTTTCATTTATCTTTGCAAAGAGAGATACATGTTATTTTTGCTATTTTATTTCTCTAGTCTCTGCCTATCAGTCCAGACTGACTTAGTTTGGACAACTTCTAAGGTGTAAATCTATGCAGATTGCCTGCTTTTAACTTTCTCTAAACAGTTCTGGGAACTAGTTTCTGGAAAGAGTTAGTAATTTCCCATGTGATTACCAGCCGGTTGATAGCAGATGTGGTGTAGAATCCAACTGTGTTTTCTCCAGTTCCTCTGTGCCAGCTCTAGACCTTTGTGTAATGTAGCACCAAAGCCATGCAAACTGATTCTTAATGTACCATAGAAAGCTTTACTTCGTTTTATGCATTGTAAGCTTTTAGTCTATTGTATTAGTAGCATGAAATAGTTGCAACTCTCTTGTGCATTTTCATATATTAGCTGTAGATTGCTTATCTGTATTAACTGTTTTATGCTCCTTGTAAAATTGCATCTTTCTCATCTTTGTTGCCAGCTACTGTAAGCCCTCCTAGTACTACACCACCCACTGTCACCACTAATATCCCTGTTACTAACAGAGTCCGTAAACAAAAGAATGGTAAGATTCATTGGGTAAGATCCTATGTGTAGTATGTCTAAAGCATGTAAAATGTATTCTGAGAGTGAAAATACAGACTGTGCCAGCAAAGTTCTGTGATTGGCAACACTTGGTTCATTAGCACATTTGAAGACCAGTAAAACAAACGTCATTGTGTCTTGAGTCCCAGTTGAACCAATAGCTCCGAGCACTTTTTTCCCTCACTTTGAGTTACTCTCTTTCAAAGAAGTTTTACAAAAAAAAGATATTTAATTGAAAAGAATTCATTTCCATTACAATACATCCAAGAAGGGAAAAAGGTGCTTTCCTTTTAATGGTGTTTTGTCAAATGACAACAACTGAGACACTTTTCTGTTTGTTTGAGAAATAGGATTTCTCTGTGCAATCCAGGCAGCAGTCTGGACAGTACTAAAAGTACCACCTGGGGAAACGGGATTTTAGAGGATGTTACTCAGTCAACTTTGTATTTAAACATTTATTCGATTTATATCAGTGGCTATGGTAACAATTTGTACTTTTTATCACTTCCTGAAGAACACTGGTTAGGATGTATTATCAGTCAGGTCTGTAGTCAATTTGGGGTAATTTTGCTGTACCAGGGCTTGAATCCAGAGTTCCACACATCAGGCACAGGCCCTATCTCTGAGCTCCACTTGAAGTCCCAATTTTTAAATGATAAAATTTCAAGTAATTTCAGCATTTCCTGCCCTTTTCCCTTCCATTTATGTCTTTCTATTAGTACTAATCATAATGCCCAACTATGGCAGTTATGTCTTATAAGAAACCAGTAGAGGGAAAGCCAGATGGTTCAATTCTTTATTTTATTCTGCCACATGTATGGATCATATACATAGTGGTTTGAAGTTAGTGGTGTCAGTTTCTTGTAATAAAAGCACATTCTAATCAACTGACTGAACCATCGCCTTCAACACAGTAGTAGAATCAAATATGAGATACTAGAAGCAAAGGAGTTTTAGAAAATCCAGTGCTGTAGCTTGCAAGGGCAAACATCTGTAACGTATCACCAGGGGCCCAAAACCCAGGGAAAAATAAACCCACATAGTTCACTGTTTTTGTTTTATTTTCCTTATAGCTTCAGAGGTTACATCAACTTCCTCTGTAAGAACATTTACATTGGAAGTACAGAATATTTGACATGAAACGTAGATACAAATTTCATTAGGGTTATAAAGACATCGATTCAAGGAAGTGTTTATGGTTATTCTGCTAGTTTCACCACAGAGATTTATGATTCCAACACAACCGCCTCCCCCCCCCCCCCCCCCCCACATGCCGGGCAAGCAGCAACAGTGTAAGTTTCCATATTGCACATGGAGTCCTGCCATCAGATGGGAATATTATAATTCTAACTAAGTATTTCCCTCTTTGTATGCGCATACAAAGAGCCTCTGTGGTATTCTCCCTTCAGAACTGGCACATCCTCTGCTGCCCAAGAACATTGACATGGGTACTTCAGAACCCTCCACTTGGGGGATTGGGGCTGTATTCATTGAGTCTTGTAGTTTCTAACACTCTTGAAGAGAGCCTTGTTCAGGCCATCCAACTCTGCGTCATAACCTTCATTGGCGTTTCAACAAAGGCAAATATTAGAACCAGTTAAAAATGGTTTATCTCAACCACATTAATAAAAGAAGAATCTAATTCAGATGACTGTTGTGATTAACTTATCATTTGAACCATTAAAATATTAGGTCACCTTGAGGTGGAAATCGTCTCAAAATTTTGTGCTCCAATTATTTTTTTAAACATTTTAGCAATTTTTATCATATACTTGAACCATGTGTTTTAATACAACAGCTGACTCTCTATCTGCATTCACGTGGGATTTCACTATTATATAATGAAACCATAACTGCAGAAATGAAAACCTAAACTAAGTACAATGCCACAGTGTTCCACAAGTATCTCTTATATTCTACTGTTTCTGAAGGCTTACAGCTTGAGCCTCTCATTTTCTTTTCTAAAAAGCAAGTAGCAGTATATTACAAACAAAAATATTCATATAAAGTTTTTCCATTTGTCCAAATTTAAAATAATTCAGATTATTTTTTCTTTTTCTTTCTTTCTTTCTTTCTTTCTTTCTTTCTTTCTTTCTTCTTCTTCTTCTTCTTCTTCTTCTTCTTCTTCTTATTATTATTATTATTATTATTATTATCATTATTATTATTATTGGTTTTCCAAGACAGGGTTTCTCTGTGGCTTTGGAGGCTGTCCTGGAACTAGCTCTTGTAGACCAGGCTGGTCTTTAACTCACAGAGATCCTCCTGCCTCTGCCTCCTGAGTTCTGGGATTAAAGGCGTGCACCACCAACTCCCGGCTTATTTTTTCTCTGTAAATAAATTGCATTTATGTCATATCCTGACTCTCTAATGTCATTCACATACTATCCATTATTTCTTATTCTTTGAGAAACTGGTACAGTAAACATTCTCAGGCTATTACCTGATATATTAGAAAATCCTGTTTTCCTATTGTTGGAAAGATAGGGATAATTGTCAACTCTATTATCTACCTTATCCAGTCCCTTAACTCTGGGCTGTCAGAATACTGGGTTCATCAATAGTAATGTGCCAATGTAGGAAAAGAGAAAACTAGATCGCTTGGTGGTCACATATTCTGCCTCATGATACCAACTAAATTGGTTCTAATTGTCATGAAATGGTCTTATTTTTCTTTGTGAATCTCTTTTCACCACTTTACATTGAATTTGCACCCCATACCTTATATTATATACCAAGAGTGTCATCTTTTAGGCAACTTCCCACGGGTATTTCAGAATGTCATAGATGTCTAGGTATTCCCACAAATAATGAATCTGTCCAATCTCCTTGACCTTCCCCAAAGTGTTCCCAGAATAATGATTATTTCCATTCCTAATGATATTGTCTGTGCTTGAATAAACACTAGCCTTACTAAATAGTGAACTTCTGTGATGTAGGCACAAGCAACCCAACTAAGGAATTAGCTCCTCATTATTGTTCTGAAAATTCATTTCACAAGTGCAAATTGCAGTGTTCCTTCCAATTTCTCAGATGTGTTTAGTTAGTCAAATAACAAATTCACTTGCAGGACTTTTGTGTGGCTCCAGGAGTCTTTGTAGATTTATATGTCAGATGTCTTAAAGGAATTGGACATGTAAGGGCCTGCAGGTTGCCATTCATAGTATAAATGCAATTGGCATAATTGCCTCATTGTCAGTTTGGAAAATAATGTGAAATCTAAACAACATTATAAGTTGGATTTTAATTTATTTTTCAAGTTTCAATTTCACCAAATCAATCCTTCATTTGATAACTTTGGAGGTAATTTTTGTATTGCACAGGAAACTTAGATGGTTAACTGGGGGGCCTACTGTATAAAATACTGTTTAATACAATATCTACAATAGCTCTTTGAAGTTTTGTATGGCTGGAAGAGTTACTTGACAGAAAAGTAGATACATACATACATACCTATTTAGTCTGCTTCTTCCTTCCTTCCTTCTTCCTCCTCTTCCTGGTAAAGTGTAACAGAGGCTCTGTTCTATATGATATTGTTAGAATAATGCACACCTCTTTTGAAGTCATGGGGATGCATGAAGATTTGCGGATGTTTTTGATACTAGAATGTCATTTTCTATCTATAGGAGCTGACTTGCTGCTCTAATAACACAGGGGAGCCTATTTGTGTTTCTTATTGGCATTTCCCCAGTAATAATGTTTAAGCAAATTAATTTATCAATTAAAAATCCCTGTCACCAGCCCACCAATTTGTTTTTTATTCCTTGGTTTCTTTCCTATGTATCACATAATTATCTTTTGAATAAATAATTCAAAAGTTTTAAATAAATAAAAAGCAGGCCCCACTAAGTTTTTAGCTAAGTTTGTAATTCTGTGGTTTCTGAGCAGATACTATTTGCTAATTCTTCATAACACAAAAGAGTCTGTAATATAAGAAACTAGTTTACTTGTGGTATTAATCTAATTGTAATTTTTGTAAGCAATGCTAAAGAGTACTAAGATTATTGGATGTTGAATATCCCATTTTATGAAAACAATGAACTGTAGGAAAAAATGTGGGACAGGAAAGGTTTAAAATAGAAAGAAACTGGGTTAAATACTTGGATGATTCTGTAAAATTTCAGAAACATCAGTATTGAAGTATTGATATTTTTACTGTTTTGTGTTTTCAAGCTAAGAAAAAAATAATTACTTATATTTAGTGCTCCACCTAGTGGTAGTTTTTAGAAACACTACTAGCATTCCTGACTGTTCAAAGACTACTATCCTTCCATGCTGGGACATTGCACTCTGCAGCTTGAATTCACTCTAAGTCCGTCAGCAGGTCCACGATTTCATGTGAGGAAACCTACAGTATAGGATTTTTTTTAAAAAAAAATTGAGTTATTACCATCTTTTTTTACATGTGTCCGATTAGTTTCCATTCACAATATATTTTGAAGAAATAGGAAATTCAAAATCATTTTTTAAAAGTAAGTAATTTTAGACATTGAAATAACCTTGTCTGTATAAACTAAGCTCACCGGTCTTAGAATTTATTTTTGCGTATTTGTATATGATAAGGTAGACATTTCTATTTCACATAAGACTTACAGGATTGGAATTTGCATTTTGGGTATAGCTGGGACTTTCCAGAGATATGCTTTCATATATAGTTTTGTACTGCCTCCCCCAAATTTTCACTGAGTGTATTCCTCAGCATTGCTTAATTATATATTTCCAGATATTTTATGCTTTTTGCTCAAGACTACCCTAAAAAGCATGGGGTAAATATGGCTAACAATAATAGATAGCATTTCCCCTTTCTCTTTAACTTGCTTTTAAAGGGGGATTTTTTTTCATTTGCTACTTGGAGTCACATGCCATGTGGCACACGGTTAGCTCCTGTAGTCCAACAAAACCTTTCTGATGAGTTCATTTTTCATGAGCACAAAAAAGGACAACTACTTTAAAGAACCACTAAGAGAAAAAAATGAAAACTTCTTTTCAGAATATAGTTTCCTTTATAAAGTCAACTGTTAAAATTCTACCTGTGGATATTAGTCTTCCCCTCCCTATTTTGATAAATCGGCTATACTTAGAAATTTAAATGGAAAGATTTGGTCAAATCCCATCCAATACTTCAACTTAGAAGTGCATGCTTCCTTGAGGAGAAGCAAAGCAGGGCGGGAGGAAAGGCTCGCCTGAAAGGGGGCATGTGGATGCCTGTTCTCTTCCAGTATCAATCTTTCTAATGATTCAAATCACTTAATATTTCACATTCTCAAACTACCGTTCTTAACCACAAACAAAAAAGCATAATTTCTTATTAACAAAAAAATCAAACTTCACACAGAATAACTATCACTTTATCAACTTTAGGCACCAGAATCGATAGAACTAAAAAACTGGCTTACACGTATTACAAAGGTCATAGCCGAGTGATTAATTTAGAAGTGATGAAATTATCTCTGAGTAAACTAATGAATAGCTCCTTCTAAGCAGTTGCAAGAGTAATTTTAACATCAAAATTGGCCCAAACTTCCTGTGCCTATGTGTCTTACAAACATATGTGAAATGATGTGACTATGAATTTGCATTGTTTGTTCCGAATGTAAAACATAATTAAATATTAATCCTATTTCCAATGTGCAGATGGGATAATGTATAGAATATCTGTTGTGATTCACAATGACCTTAATCACCCTGAAGTGAAGGTGCAGAGCAAGGTAGCTGAATGGGTAAGTGAACTTATTCCATTGACTCCTGCTTTAAAACTTTAACTGCTTTACAGATGATAAAGACAATGAATGAAACCATAAATCTTATTACTACACAAATAATGCTCTTTATAAACATGTGAATAGGGCGATAGAGAAGTGGTTCAGTGGTTAACAGTGCATATTGCTCTTCCAGACCATCCAACTTCAGTTCCCAGCATCCATATCTGGTGGCTCACAACTGCCTACAACTCCAGACTCCATGGGACTCTAATGCCCTCTTCTAGTCTTTGTGGGCTCTGCACTCATGTGTGCTTACCCTTCACACAGACATATGTACATACACATAATTAAAAGCAAAACTGAAAACTTAAAAAAGTATATGACTAGACAGAAACAACTTCTTGTGTTTATACAGAGGAAGAGAGATGTATTTGGACACAGGATACAAAACTGAGCCTAATAGTCTCCTTGGATTGAGACAGGAATATGTGCTCAGTGACCACATAGCGAACAAGCTGTGGAGACAGGATGCCTTCTTGCATCCCATTTTCTTTCCACAGTGTTCTTTTTATTTGCTTTTACAGGCAGAATGATTTCTAATTATTAAATTATTTCTTTTCATTCTCAAGTCATGGCTAGTATTACCAGTCATGAAATGAGCACTAACTGGGGAGTTTGCATTAAACATGGTACAATTTTACATTTACATCTTTTCCTGTGTGATTTTCATCCTAATGTCATTGTCATCAGAGGCTAAGCTTTATTAGCTACCTTTTGTGATGCAAGCTCCCAAAGAAGTTGCTTGAAACCCGCCTGCATGAGTTATATCTCCAGCACCCATTACTGGAGTCCTCTAACCTGAAAACTCAAAATCTGGCATACCTCTCAAGTATTTTGAATTAGAGATGATAAACCAGTGTAGTCTATGCAAATATTCCAAATCCAGAAAAAATCAGAAATCTGAAATGATTTTGGCTCAAGGTACCAAACTTAGATAAAGCATCCACAACCTTAGTACACAGAAAATAATTATCATTATTTTGCCAATATTTTCTAAAATGTCTATTGCATTTTAGCAATGTTTAAAACGAGACTAAATATGTGTGTGGGAGATGACCTAAGGAAGCCTTGGGAAAAGAGCTAAAGGTAACAGGATTTTGTGTGGTTGCACCATGATAATTTGTTCATATTGAGACCCATACCACTGTTAACCACACGGAATTGGTATAATCTCAATACCACTGGGCTTTGTCAAAGATGCATTTTTCTGCTTATAATTTTTCTTATCACTGATGTTCTTATGAGATGGCAATTACCACAAAACATGTTTGAGTGAATCTCAGTACTTATTAAATGCAAACTAAGGAAGGTGTTTATTGAAAGACTGGTATATTATAGCTAGACAGGAAATGACAGTGTTTCCCACCACACTGGCTTGAGTTCCAGTGTGAGATCTGCTGTTGATTAGCAGATGATCCTGAAGATGCTGTCTCATCTCTCCAAACTACTGTTTCTTCATAAATAAGAGGGTGGAGTTGGGGTGGGAATGTAGTATCCTCTTCAATGATTAATGTGCAGATGAAAAGAAATGGCCTTCACTATATCCTAGGCTCTCTGGTCCAGCAACTCTCCCTTTATCTTTCACTCCTGTGGTTCTGCAGAATTTTCTCAAGGTTTTTTTCCAATGACAGCTCATGGTTTGGAGGGGAGTCAACCTTGACTCAGAAAAGAATGTTTTCAAACATTACTGAAACTCAACCTTTTCCATTGTGTTTTCCAGCTCAATTCAACCTTCCAGAATTGGAACTACACTGTCTACGTGGTTAATATAAGGTAAATGCAATGATTATCAGAGAAAGAGAAATGCTTAATTTACTACTCCTTTACTGACTGTATCTGAGAACCAGTGTGTATGGTTCTATATGTATAACTAAATCAATATTAGGGCATCTATTCTGCCTCCTTCTCCAGTTTTGCTGTTGAGGAATGGACACAATGGATGGGACTGATAATGGATACATATGTCTGTCTATGACTGGACACAATGGATGGGATTGATAATGGATACATATGTCTGTCTATGACTAGGCACAATGGATGGGATTGATATTGGATACATATATTTGTCTATGACTAGACACAATGGATGGGATTGATAATGGATACATATGTTTATCTATGACTGGACACAATGGATGAGCTTGATAACAGATACATGTGTCTGTCTTTACAGTTTGCATCATATCACAGGGGAAGACAGGATTAAAGTCAAGAGAGACACCATGGATGATGACAAAAGGTAACAACAAGGAAACATGGAAAGTGTAATATTTTTCCCTTGCTCATTAAACAAGTGAAACAGTGGTCAGAGAAAAACCTTTGAATTGCTTGGTACATTCACTTTGTTTCTTCAGTGTTAATGCACTTCACCTTTTTCTCATGTCCAAAGCAGAAAAAGAGAAAGTGGGCTTGAAATGTAAGTCTATGAAAAGCCCTTGAGGGGCAGAGCACTTAAAAGGGGTAGGTGAACATTTCTATGTCTTTGAAATCTATCACCCCCTCTTCAAAATTCCAAAAAGACCTTCAAAGGGAATAGCTTTAGGGCAAGAGGCAATACTCAGTGGTGTATCAATAGCACCTGCCCAGGATGCGCTAGGTCCTGGGTTCCAGCCCTAGAACTGCCCCCAAATAGTTCTATTTTAAAGTCATAATTATGCATGATAGCATATAAAATATAGACAATATGAGCCAAATATTTTTAGTATATACAATCACATCTATTTTTGAAGTCTCTATCTTTAAATTTGTATCAGGATCATGACTTAGCATATGGGTTATTAGTGACTGTGCCCAGCATGCCCCACCAGTGGGCATATAAGATCAGCTTCTCAAATTCCTATAAAGTGAAAAATCATTAATTCCTTGAGTGAAAAAAAGAATACTTTTCTTAGGATTGTATATTATATCTCCATGAAATTGTAACAAATTATGTGAAAGTGTTCTTAGAAACCTTGCTAGGTTTTAACTTACTGACTGATGTTATGAAAATGTAACCATTGCATGATAAAATGGTTCATTAGGTAAAGGTACTTCCTGCCAAGCCTGATGATCTGAGTTTGATCCCCAGCCCCATGTGGTGGAAGGAGAAAACATAATCACACAGGTTGTCTTTTGACCCCCACAGGTGCTCTATGGAACACGCGCACACACACACACACACACATACACACACACACACACACACACTCACACAAGACACACACACACACACACACACACACACACACACACACACGCACACATACCCCAAATTTTAATTGAAGATTAAAAAAACAAAAACAAAAACTCAGCCATGAAGACTATGATATATTGCTACTATGAGAAGATACACATAAAATTATATTTGAGAGTTGACCAGAGAACTTGATTATTAATTCCCCCTTCTATTTAGTATTGGAATATTAGAAAAACAGATGTCTTGAACCTGTCAACTTGTCATTTCTATATAAATTCAATACATGGGATTGCACTGTCTGGTTAGGAGACATTTTTATTCTGACACCATTGATTTTCCTTTATGATCTGAAAACAAAGTAATGTACCGCAGGATAGTAAGTGACCAGACTTCCTCCTCTCCCTAAGAAAATGGTCCTTTTCCACACCTCCTACTACATCATATTGAGCCTCCAACAGTGGATCCAGCAGAAGCTAGGATCCTCTGTAGGTGCTTTAACTAGCATTTGGGACAAAGCTAATTTGGAGCGAGACCAGTATTGAGCATCCCATCAGGTTACTCAAGAGGTTATTGTATTACTGATAACACTAAAATCAGCCACAGTTGGTGTATTCCAGCATCTCTCAAACTCTTGCTTGAAAGACATTTAAATAAATAAAATCTCAATTTCCTGGTATGTCAAACCAGTGAATAATGTCACAAAAAAGTACAGAAAGAATGAACCAATCTAACTTGTGGGAAAATCCACTTACTTAGTTTTCCTTTGATATAAATTATCAGCATTGTCTCTTTTTTTATAGCTTCCCCCTCTTTTTAAAACCTATTCTGTCTGCTCTTATACTCATGGACAAGGTTTTATATCGTCTCTCCTAGTTTTCCTTCAGGCCACGGTCTGCTAGTTTCGAATCCATTCCCCCCAATTCTTCCTTTCAATTCAATTTTGCAGCTTAAGCATTAGATAATGCTGTTGTACTCCACTGTCTAGACAGACAGGGAACCTGAAACCACAGAAGGGCTGGCTTAAACCAATGATGAATGCCAATGGCAACAAGAGATAGATCTTGACCATTGTAGAACCATAGGGTAGTTTCTGTTTTCAGATGGGAAAGAAAAATAAAAATGATAAGGCTTGTGAAAATGCAGGCTCTGTCTGGAATGGTTGATTTTGTGTATTGAATACACCCACAATACTTTGTGCTGATGTTGTCCTGGATGTGACTGTGGATTCTCAGGAACCAGAATGGCTGCGCTTTTCTTCCACCAGCCATTTAATTAGAGGACGCCTCATCATATGCATTTAGGAAATGATTAAAGATTCACCATCCACTATATGTTCGGATCTATCTATACTTGCCTCATCCTGAATTATGGCGTATGTATGAGTGTTAAGCAGCGAATCATTTTAGAGGTAAAATTTTTTTCAGAGTCAATTAGGAGGAGAGCACACTTTGTCCTTGAGTTGGCTAGCTACTATGGGGGTAAAATCCAGCTATGGCACCTAACCTTGAGTAACAAATACTTAACTTGTTCCTTGTTTTTTAGCACCACAAATGTGCTATTTCTGATTTACTTCTGTTCTTACTGACTAAATTTCATCGATAGAATGTGCCATACTCTCTACTTTGAGGTCACATGCCTCCACTTCTCTTTGGCACACGAATAACAAGCAATGTGGATAATAACATGACATGTGCTGTGTTCTTCATTTCTCTTCAGAATGAGGAAAAATACAAATGCAGTACTCTCACATAAGGGAGCAAAACTAAAAAACTCCTTTGCCTCACAAAATGGCATTATGAACCTCTGCCTCAATACTGAATTGCCTTTAGGTTTTTACTGCTGATTAAAGCTGTGATTATGGCTTAGCTATAAGTTTTGACAGGGGTTTTAAAAATATACATCTTTGCTTCCCATAAAGGTATTTTCAGGGTCACACTTTATAAAACCATTTTACTAGCCAAATCAGGAATATTCTGAGTATTTATTTTACAGATCTTCACCATACAAAGTACTTGTAAGGGCTCCATCTGCAGGACATGCACCATATTTATAAATAACAACACACAACAGTTTCAAGAGTCCAATATGCAGTTCAACAATTTTCTTTGAAATTTTAAGTTCTGCCTATAAAGAAACAAAAGAGAATTAATTGTATACTATGTCCCCTTTCGAGTGGATGTTATAAATATTATATATAACATATGAACTGTTGGTACTATATAAATATTTCTGAAAAAAGTGGGTGCTATGACAAAATTCTAAAGAACTATGTTATAAAAATCTATTCCAGGTGAAACAGAGTGAACATTGTAATTTGCATCACAGAGAAAGGCCAAGATGTCTTGGTTGATCTTTTCAGTCTCAACATGTCATGGCATCCATGTTCTATTTCCCCCAACCAAAAACAACCAGTCAGAAAGCAACCCCCCCGGAACAACAGTTCTCTCTGACATCCTTTTCTAGGTTGGTGCTGTGGGCTCTTCTAGTCTACAATGCCACCAATAATGCCAACCTCGATGGAGAAGTGATCGAACAGAAGCTTTTAACAAATAACGCATCGCTGGAGGATGGCCTGAGACTGTACACAGTCAATGTGAAGCAGCTAGGTATGTGAGTTCAGTATGTGTGATTTATGTATTCATAGTTAAGCATGCAGCAGCCTGAATTTTCTACTTTTGTTTAGTGATGAAATTTGTTATATGACAGAGTTTTTAAAAATGTGTAACATTGCATAAAAATCAGCTCAACACCTCTGAATCTAAGGGAGTGAAGGAGGCAAGCAGTTTGTATTTATCCTTTCTTATCCTAAAAGGAGTGAAGTACTGGGATAACTGACCATCACTGGCTTTCACTTACAGAATTAGAAAATGCATATATACATTTATATTATGAAATGACCCATGAAGAGTGTGTGTTCTTTGCACATTAATGATGGCACAGGAATAAGTCATGTTTCTTGAAGTGAAAATCCGTTCTCAACAGCATACCTTTCCTGTCCTGAGCTCCCATGACTCCTGTTCTTTCTCAAGTTTCCATGCTGTTTCATAGTTAGATGTGTGACACCCTCTGTTATAACTGCCCACTCACCTTCACCTACATATCTTTAATGATAGCCGCAAGGCCACCTCCTCTTTAAGGCCTTTCCTGACATGGCCTTATGCTGAGCCTTTGCCTGTTGTTCAGATACCTTGTGCATCACATACCCCTGAAGAGTATAGTCTTCTATTGGACTTATCTGCATTCGTAGGCATATTTTCTTCATGTAGTTTGATCTTTGGCATGAGATGACATCTTATTTTTTTTAAATGCTTAGCTCCCAGCACTTGAGTACTTGTTGAATGAATCAATGAATGGATGCATCTTTTTTTTTTTTTTCCCGAGACAGGGTTTCCATGTTGCTTTGGAGCCTGTCCTGGAACTCACTCTGTAGACCAGGCTAGCCTAGAACTCAAAGAGATCTGCCGGTCTCTTCCTCCTGAGTGCTGAGATTAGAGGTGTGTGCCATCACAGCCCTGCTGAATGGATGCATCTTAATGAAAATTATACACAACACAAGTAATTGCTCTGATGTTATTCTATGAATAAAGTCAGAGTTGAACTAGGGACTTTAGTAGGAATTGGGATGAAAGGTAGTGCGCTTTGCCTCAAGTACACTAAGGAAGCTGAAATGGGGAATGTGGGTGCTCTTCACCCCCAGAGCATGCAAACACCCAAGACCTGATCCAAGGGTGATGATTCCCCATTTCTCTGAGCACCTGCTCACCACTAACTGCTGTGCCAACATGCAGAGTTAGAGAGACCCTCAGAGACAAGTGTAAACAGCAGACAAGTGTAAACAGTGACCACAGTAGTGAAGATTCATACTCAGCAGCATCTGCGGCTTTGTAAAAGTTTTTGTCTACTCACAAGCAGGGCTTCTAGAGAGGAGCCAGAGCTCCCATGTCATACACACGAGTCTCTACAAAGAAGCAGTGTGACGATTGTCAGGCAAGGTCTGACCACACAACCCTGAGGGACCAACCCCATCTGCCCTCAAAGGCTGGTAAATCTTAAGACAGCCTTTTGTGCACACATGGATATTTAATTTATACTCATTATTTGCTATTATTTTATGTTGTTTCTCTAGTGATTCTATGAATAAAGGTCTGTGGCATTTGAGAATGAATGCTTAAAACCTCCCAAATTCAAAGGATAGGTTAGAAAAGTCATTTGAATTGTCAGTTGGGGCCTACCATGCTTCTTCTCAGAAAGACCAGAAGCTTGCTGCTTTTTCAGTACTTAGAAGGTTTTGTTGTAGTTGTTGCTACCTTGTTGTGACTCTGACATTTTCAAAAGATAAAATCTGAATCTTTTTTTGCCATCACAATCAATTAGCTAGTGTTTTTGCACAAAAAGTGGAACAGTTGGAGAATGAAAGCAGGAAGTAAGACAGGTAGGGCTAGTTTTGGTTTTTCTTTTCTTTCCTTTTGTTTTCCAGTAAGCTTGTAGAGAGAGTACACTATGAGAACATCTAGAAAATGTTTCATAAAATGTGCTAACAACTCAGCAATGAAGCCATTCATGCATGGTTTGACCAACCCACCCCTCATCCTGAATTTTAAACAGATTTTGAAATTTTTATGTGTTTTCTCAATTCCTATCATGCTTATGCTCTGAATGAAACTTGTTTCCTAATATCTTATGAATGATCATATATATTTTATTGTTACATTATGTTCTTTTATTTTAAGATGGCTTTGTAAGATACAATCATTTATATCTGAAATATGTTTATTTTTTCCTAATTTAAAAAAATTCTAAATATAAAACACTGATATTTCAGTAGTATCTACTATAGTTACTGGATTCCCAGGGTTGCCCTTGGTTTTCACCCCACACCTTTTTACTTCAGAAAATTAAGGGTTAGTCTGTCTCGTGTTGACTTTTATTTTCTCCTAGGTCTGTGTAGTGCCTTGGAGGATCCAGAGGGCTTTAGCTGGCCAGCTGCTTCACCTTCTGTCTACAAACATCCGTGCCCTAACAAGCCTGGCTTTTTTGTGACACGGACATGGTAATTCTTTCTTTGACTTGCAAGCCACATATCCAAGCTTACTACATACATCACAGCAGTAATCATTCCTTGTGATGATTCAAGAAGCCAGACAGGAATTATACACTCATGGGTTGGGTAGTTATAGATGAGGAAAGAATATTACCCACAGGGCTGTTTCCCTCTGAGCAGTGAGTTAATAGAACTCTCTCTCCAGGAGATTGAGGAAGCTGGAAACCAAGGTGTGGCTCCAGAGCAAAGGATATTGGGGCCAGCTTGGTCTCAGTATATGTGCCTAAATCCTCATAACTTCTTACCCATTTGGGGAAGAGAGATTAGCAAAGGGGGAATAAAGACCAGATCCAGTTTGGGCAGCCTGTTGACACAGATTGCCAAGACACAGGATTTCCCTGCAAGTCTAATAAACCTCTAATGAGACAGTTGAAGGCCTCCGCCAAAGCTCCCTGCATATGGAGTTTTCCACCCTCTGCCTGGGGCCCAGTTAGTTCTCTGGGAAGGAATTCAGGAACAGAAAGTGCCTAAGTGTGAGTTGTCCATCCGCATCAAGGGCAGTTTGACACTTGGTGGGGAGGGAAGACAAATGCTTCGAGATTTATGGACTCCAGTTTGAAATGTGGCCCTACCTCTTCCTGGCTCAAGTTCTTGGGAAAATTCCTTGGCTTCTCTAAAATGCATTTCCTCTTTCATAAACTTGGATTGAAATCTGCTTTTCAGGGGTATGTGAAATCAAAATGTGAGTTTTCCAGTAAAGTCCTTAAAGTGGCACTTGACAGTGTACACAAGGGCAGGATGCAGGGTGTAGCTGGTACGTCCCTTCAAGAGGGTTAGCTGCTGGCTGGTTTTCCAATAAGGATTTTCATCACCATGTTCATTATTCTTTTAAAAGGGTATCTAGCAGGATATCAAAGCAAATCCTGAAACTTATGAATTGCTTTTGTTCCTTGTAATTTCATTGGTACCATAAACTTAAATGTCATTGTGTTGTCTGGTAATTATTGCAGCCTTTCTAATGCAACATCGACCTTCTGGGGCCCCATTGATACCTCCAACTGTTCAAGTGAGTGAAATTTGTCTTCCATTCCCAAAGACAAAGTGAAACGACCTCATCATCATCAAGGTTTTCATTCTCTGCAGGGGTTATGGTCTGTTGTGTGATATTATTATAATATTAAAACTCAGGCAAATGAATCTCACATACTTTAGGTAGAAAATGTACTCTTCTGCATTTAAAATTTCTGTCATATTCACAAACATATTCTTTAAAATGAAAATGGTAAGAAAATTATACAGAGGTTTTAAAAGTAATGGGCAAATTGCTATTTCTATCAATTTTTTCATATTTCTGCTTTATTTTAAAGTAGGAAACATGTACTTAGTGATTTCGAGGGAACACTGGTCTCTGAATCACTTGTATCATACTTAAGAAATTTGTCATTGTGTGTAAAGAAACGTTACCTTATAAAGGTGGGGGTGGGGTTTGCATGGGAACCCTATTTCTTGCAGATGTATAGTAAACTATTCACACTGTCTGTCCCTAGAAATATCCAAAACATCCAGGCAAACTTTATGTTTTTCTTTCCCTCCTTCTAGGACAATCAAATGAAGTGGCCAATGAAATATTAGACTTAACTAGTGATGGGCAGAACCTAACCTCAGCCAATATTAACAGCATTGTAGAACAGGTCAAAAGGATTGTAAACCAAGAAGAAAATATTGATATAGCGCTCGGCTCCACTCTCATGAATATATTTTCTAACATCTTAAGCAGTTCGGATAGTGATTTGCTTGAGTCGTCTTCTGAGTAAGTATAACTGAGACTTAAACTGCACCCATGTGTTGTGAGAGCACTGCTCCCTCTCTGAATACCTTGTACCCAGACTCCATGATTCATAACTCTAGAAGATGCATAGGTATTTCCCAAGGTCACTGACAAAGTCAACTTTAAAGCTCTCTAATTATTTCAAAAGTATAGTTTACAAAATGATTACAGTTTTCATCCAGCTGTGTCTATAAATACCCAAACCCAACTAAAGCATACCCGGGTACGTCACAATATATTTTTTATTCTAAAACTTTGGTTAGCCAAGGTATTTCTTAGTCACTTGTCAGTCTACACAAAGTTCTATACATTATTGCAATTATGTGAATTTATAAAATGAAAATGCCAGTTGGGAGTGGAGGGACACACCTTTAATCCTAGTACTCTGGGAAGGGGGCAGAGGCAGACAGATCTCTGAGACCAAGTCAGCCTGGTCTACACAGCGAGTTCTAGGATAGGCTCCAAAGTTATACAGAAAGACCCTGTCTCTAAAAAGAAAACAAAACGCTTAGGGTAGGTAGAACTACATTATATTTTATATTTCCCCTTGATAGTAGGGCCTTTAATTTCTTCTATTTCCTTTATTTAAATAATATTTCTTTGAAAAAATGTATTTCTTAAACATACTCTTTAGGTTATTTTATCTCTGTCACATTAACTGCAAACACTTTTACAGTATCTTCTGGCTTCTCAAACAATATTAGTGGAAAACAAAACTTCTGATGATTTTAGTTGCTGATTTTGCTTAAGAGGGTACATGTCTTGTGTACCCAGAATCAATTATTGGGATTCTGTGTTTTAGCAGATAGCACTGGGATGGTTTTATGGCTGTGTGTTCTAAGATCAGAGAACTAAAGATAATTTATTAATCTGTTATGGGGCAAATACCTAAAACACAGTGTAATTAACAGTGATGCCATTTTCATTTCTTTAGAGCTTTAAAAACAATTGATGAGCTAGCCTTTAAAATAGACCTGAATAGCACACCACATGTGAATATTGCGACACAGAATTTGGCTCTTGGAGTTTCATCCCTGATGCCAGGGACGGATGCACCTTCAAATTTTAGCATTGGCCTTCCAAACAATAACGAGTCCTATTTCCAGGTAACAAACCCCTGTTTGTCTTCACTTTAACTAACTAATGATACAGAGAACAAACTTACTGGTTCTTTAATATTAGATACCTCAAGGAAGTCTTGATCCAAGAGTTGGCAGACAGATCTGAACATTGGCTAAAATGATATCAGCATCCAGAAGAAAAGTAGAAGTACCGAGAGCATATGATACATAGCCCACACCATGAATGGTACCTTCTAAAGGAGGGGAAGATAAAGTGAAATGTTGACACATGGACAGAGACCATATTGGAAGTATGGTTTGGGAACCAGTATAAAGAAAGAAAAGTCTTACTAAAGAACTTCAGGTGGGAAGAGACAAGAGAGAAGCTGTCTCCTTGCTACTGCTTCTAAAAATGGACTCCAGTGTCCCAGGGAAGACGTGTTCAGAACAATCCTGGGCCTTGATGTCAGAGCCTCTCAGATGATGGTTCTGTACAGGGCCCTGTCATGTCCAGGTTAATCAAGTGCTCAGATGTTGCTGATGCTGCTGATTTGAGGATCATGTGATGCAAATTCACAGTGTAGAGGCTTGGCAGTGTCAGGCAGCAGATGAGGCTGGACAAGTAATCTGGGACTCTACTAACCCTCTTGGATATGTTAATGTCACAATTCATCCAATAATCTTCAAGTTTCTACTATGCCCCTGGCACTGCTAGCAAGCAGAGCAAACACAGTGAATACAGCACCATTCCTGACTTGGGAAAGTATCCATGGAACATAGTTTTATTATTATTATCATTATCATGATCTTAGTATTATCATTCACTCTCAAGATAGATCGCATTGAACATAGAAAAGGTGCAGCCTTAAGATACAAATAAGACTTTTGTTCTCTTTGAATTAGGGACTGTGGTGGGGGCATTAATGACTTCATACTTAAATAGCGCAAACTCCATTGGTCCCAGGCTCATACTAAGTACAGGCAATCTCTATGGCCTGAGTTATAGTTTAAAGAAAAGACGGTATCTGAGGGTGTTCATAGTGCTGGCTGTTTTTTCAGTCTGTAGGCCATAAAGCAACCTGAGAGTTGTCAATCAAAGCTGAGCTGTTCCTCCATTCGAAGTGTGTCACTCTGCCTGTCTCATTTCAAATGAAAGCTATGATGTAAAAAAAAAAAATAGCTTTGCAGAAGTAACTAACTTCTGCTGTTAAACAAGTTAGTCTATGCCCATAGTCACTGCTTTCTCATGAAGTGTATGGAGAAAACATCAAAATCTGACACCTCTAAATCCCACCCTCACAACTGAAAATATTAATTAGTATCTAGAATTGTCCATGTGCTTTATTAGCAAGGTATTCTAATGAGAACCCCTAATGCAATCTCTGCCTGATGGCGAGGGACTTAACCCAGAATTCCAGACTTCTTCAGAGGTCAAGGGCAACCCTGGTTCTGGATAATGTGGTCCTTCCAGATGTTCTGTCATCTAACCCAGCCTAATGACTGTCTTACCATTGTCCTCATGATGATTTTTTTGCTAACATGTTTGTGTGTGGCAGATGGACTTTGAGAATGGACAGACAGATCCATTGGCATCTGTGATTTTACCCCCAAACTTGTTGGAGAATTTAAGTCAAGAAGACTCTGTATTAGTCAGAAGAGCACAGTTTACCTTCTTCAACAAAACTGGACTTTTCCAGGTGAGAACACATCAATTTGTTTTCCAGTTCTAATGAAGGATCTTTGCTCAAAGGCTAAAAAATGTTGATTCCTTTGAAATACACCAGCAGGTGCATAAAAAAATGAATCTACTATATTTTCAAAATTAAAAAAACAATGTAAATGTTCAGATATTTTATTTCAAATAATATCTCTTTTAACAGTATTTACTTACTTGACTTTTAAAACAAATATCAAGATAAGACTTGTGTTACATAATGAGAAATTGAGTTAGTTATGATGCTACTATTTATTATTTGTTAATCCTTTTGTTCTCCAGCCCCCAAGACCTCTAGAGTTAAAGCATTTGTACACCAGAGGAAAGGATTTTTTTTTTAACTCAGCAGGAAGCACCTTTTACATAATGAGCGGCATTCTTGGCTTTAATCATTTTTCCCATTAGTATTTCAAATGACCTTTGGCATTCTCATATCCGCAGAGTAGGGTGGCATTGTGCTGAGCACATATTATCATTTTTATTGGCAGCAGCTCAGATACTAGACGATCCACTGCCAGAAAACACGAGTGACCCTTGGCTGCCTTGATGAGGACAGCCCCATCTAGAGCATTTGCTAGACCCTTTCCTCAGAAGAAGACTTACCAGTTAAACTCAGGATAGCACTGTTTTTCTAGCTGTGTATCTTGTGCAGGAGATCATTTTGAGTCTCAGGCCCATAGGGATGTTTCTCATACAGTCACCCTATGAATCACTCAGTTATAGGAGAAGAAAATTGCTGAGCCTCCTGTAATCCCAGCACTTGGGAGACAGCAGAAAAGAGAAGAAGGGGGAGAAAGATAAAAAGATAGCAATAGAATCAAAGAGATAGATGATATATACATAGATAGATAATAAACAGATAAATGATAGATGATAGATATATGAGAAATAGATATAGGTAGATAGATGATACCTAGATGATAGATAGATAGATAGATAGATAGATAGATAGATAGATAGATAGATAGATAGATACATGGATGGATGACAAAGAGGATGAATATGGTGACCTGCAGTTTCAAAACTTAAAAATGTTATCTACAAATGCATTAGGAACAGGCTTCGTAAAATATCCATATGTAATATAAATGGACCTGAGTCCTTCATACAAACTATGAGTTAGGAAATAGCTTGACTTCTCTGTGCTTTATGAGATGTGTGTTGTCTTCAGCAACAGGGCCTTTACCATCACTTTTTGAAGAGCAATCAGTAGACTTGACCATAGCCTATGATGCTTGGAGTTTCCATGGGACACCTTTGGCTAATGACTCAGTTCCTGGCACTGGAGGCTCTTTCTTGGTGGCATAAAATGTCTAATTGGAGTTTTATCTCTCTGATTATTTTGTAGCTCCATTTAGGTTCTTTTCATATATGTGTATATTGTAAGCTTCTACAGTAATACAGTTTTGGAGTTTTAAAGTCAACTTACAGAAAAGTAAAAAAAAAAAAAAAAGTACAACAACAAAAACCAGTAAAGATTCTGTGGTATTGTCCCCACAGAAAAGACAGGAGCATTTGCAGTAAGTGATGGTTATACCCAACACAAGTCAACTGTGTTGGTAGTAACAAACATAAAAAAAAATTAGCCAAATGCCATATTTTAGAGTTATATATGGAACTTAAGAGATACTGCAATAATTTTAATACAACTGGCTTATAAACTTCAGTATAGAGAAATTCATGGTTTGACAAGAACCCCAAATGGAAGAGAAAGGCAGAGTTGTTAGAAAGGCGGGCTGGTGCTCAAACTCATTGGTCAGCACAGAATGAGTGACACCTCTGGTCTTATTTCTGTGTGAAGTCTGCAACTGCTGTTGAGTCCGAAAGAATAGAAGGCAGAAGTTCTGGGTGGGACTTCAATCTAATAGAATTACAGTTAGTATAAGCTGGTAAACATGTCAGGCTGTTTGCATGAATGATGAATTGCTTCTTAATTCTTACACCATAAATAACTTCATCTGTTTTCTAGGGTTGGGAAATGATCTAATTGTTTCAGAGCTTTTTATGAGTTTTTATGATTTATGAGTTCATACCATTTCAGCTGTCAATTGGCTGACATCAGTCACAGTGATGGAGAATGGAGTATGAACATTCCCTTATAACCCTGGTTCGTGCTGTCTCTGCAATGTATTTATTGTAATAAGGGAAATCGCATAGACCCTTCAGGAAAGCCAGTGATTGGAAGTTATAAACAGGATATTCTAGAATTGAAGATCTTAAGTGTAAAAGTTGCTGACAGTTTGCTTACTTTGGAGCAGGAAAGTGTGTACTTGGGACTAACGCACGCGATCTGTTCATTTCTTTAAAAGGATGTTGGATCGCAAAGAAAAATCCTAGTGAGTTATGTGATGGCATGTAGCATTGGAAACATTACTATCCAGAATCTGAGGGATCCAGTTCAAATCAAAATCAAACATACCAGAACTCAGGTAAGAAAATGCCACAGATGCTGCTTGAAGAGTGCACACCAGTATCGAAAACTTTAGAAGACCAGCTTCTAAAATTTTCACTCAGGGTTCAAAAAAGGGAACTACAAATAAGTTAAGGAACTAAAATTTGAGGGAAAAAAGGAATTGACTCACACACAATTGCTCCCCTGCATGTATGTTCCTTTATTCTTTTGCTCTCTCTTTCCATCTCTCACCTCTCCCGGCCAGTTCGTGGAGGGATATATATATATATCCGGGAGCGTGTGTGTGTGTGTGTGTGTGTGTGTGTGTGTGAGGCTTGAGTTTCTTGGGGTCGGCAAGATAAGATTTATACACAAAGCAATAAACTAAAACTGCTAGGAGAAATTTTTAGCATCAGTTTCTTAGGGCTGTAGGTCAAAGAGAGGGTCTAATTTTAATTTGCACAAGAAGCAAAACCTGGTGCCTTCCAGTGCCCTGGCCTCAATGGAAGCACAGGCCTTCAAGAATGTTTGCTTTTCCCCGAGGATAAGCAAATGGGCTGATTACCTTTGTCATTATCCTCTCAGGGAAACACAAGCAGTGAATCTCTGAGCTAAAATCTTGAGTTAATAATAACAAGAAGTTTGAGAATATTTTAGTGCAGGTTAGCTTAGGTTATTGCTTTTCTAACTGTCAGTGAGGTAAAACCAGGGCATTCTTATTTTTTTTCTATCCATCTAGGTAGCTATGAACCAACAACTTTGGATGTGTAGTAATTCTATGTCCTTCAATATCTGGGAATGTCTTAGATGGGATGTTTTGCCTGGGCCCTAAACACTGACCGAATGCCTGTCAATAAGGATAATTGCAGGAAGGCAGACCTCTGCAATTACACAGGAGAGGGGAACAATGACCTGACAGTGGGAAATAGGTCTCAAACATAGCTAAGGAATGAAATCATTAAACTAGGACCTGTTAATGGAGAACAGATTTTACACATATCCAGGGAGTGTAATCAGTAAACTCCAAATGCAGGGGAGAAATTGTGCCCAGTAAATGTCAGAAAGTGCTGAACTGTGGGCAGTAAATTCCAAATTTGTTGCAGAAAGGAATAAGCTACAGGAACAATCTACAGCAAGAAACAACCAATTCATTCACAAGAATATAATACCAAATATAACTTTTGTATTGGTTTATCCATCAGAAGAATCCTTAATTCTTCTGAATTATCTCATGGTATGATAGGTATATAATCACTCTGTGACCTTATGGCTTGTAGCTCACTAGGTTGGGGAACTGCACAAAATAAAGAGCAACTAACCCATTTTATGAGGGGGCAACATCCATCCTCTAGAAGGGAGATGTGCTGATCAGGCTAAGGGCAATATACAGGCACCATGATTGGCAGCAGCCACCAATGAGTATATCTTACCTGGTACCCAATAAGAGAATGGAAGTGACCAAGTGGGATGCTGTTCTTTTTTGTTTGTTTTCGAGACAGGGTTTTTCTGTATAGCTTTGTAGACTAGGATGGCCTTTAACTCAAAGAGATCCACCTGCCTCTGCCTCCCAAGTGCTGGGATTAAAGGTATGCACCACCACCACCCAGCAGAGCTACTGTTCTTGAGATAGGACTTGAACATCCTCAAATAAAGGGATGCAGGCACAAGTTTTGATCAGGGGTTGTGACTGTCTCTTTGTGATTTTAAAGTCAAAGACAATTGCACCTGAGAAAGCTCAAAGGGGCAACAGTGAGTGCACTTGTTCTTTGGGAGATGTGCAGTGACTTAAGAAATGCCAAGTGTTAGCATTCTTATCTCAGGACCCTCTCTGCCATCCAATTGTGTGATGCAAGGAGATGGGACTCCATACTCTCCCCTGCAGCTCACAAACAAGTTTTTTTTTCACTTTTGTAGAGTTTCTGGGTTATGGTCTCACAATAGCAAGGCAAGAAGTGAGCAGGCTGATAAGGCCTGAGGACTGGAGTTGAAACACTGAAGAATCTACCCACCATTGTGATGAACCCTCAGAGACCTCCTCACTCATCTTTGGTCTCATTTGCTTTGATATTCGTAAAGGAGGACTTTGGTTTATGGCCCATGGTGAAACCCACTTACTAGAACTTACCATTTTTTAGATATACAGTTCAGTTGCATTTTTGTCAATAGATATGCCATCACTAGTTGCTTTTAAAATCTTTCCCTATTGAAATTCTGCCCCCATTAAATATTAATTCCCTGTTCTTACCTTCCAGAAATCTCTAGCAACCTCTATTCATTCCATGCTCCTGCAGTACTAATCTGATTCTGACAATCACCTCAGAGAACCGGACAGTAATCGTCCTGCAGAAGTGACTTACTTTACTTAACATAAAGCCTCCAGGATCCATCTGTGTTGTAGCAAATTCCTGGTGTGTCTTCCTTAAAAGACTGACTGATAGTCCATTGTGGGAGCATAACAGATATTCTCCATTCATCCATCGATGTTCACTTGAGTTGCTTCTATTTTCTGGCTATTTTTTGTGAATAATGAAACCCAGCTGCAGGCATACAACTGCCTCTTGAGGCCCTGATTTTAGGCATATGGGAGAGTTTTGAAGATGCTATGAACATTAAGTTATAAAAATCTTTGCTAGACATGAAGAAGAATAGTTGATTCAGTATTTTACAATGGAACAGAGAGTGAGTGTCCTGCAGAAAAGTGAGTGGAATTCTTCTTGGAGGTCCTACTTGATTTTGATTTGACCTCTCTAGGAGAGAAGGTCTATCCAGGTTACTGATCTCCTCAGGCGGTGCTGCCATGTCTGGTACTGATCAGTATCTTAGTGAAGTCCTTGACATTTTCATGTCCTTGACATTGCATTTCAGTTGTGACTTTTAAACAGTTTAAAATACAACTTTGCATGTTTATTCTTATATTAATACAGGAAGTGCATCGTCCCATCTGTGCCTTCTGGGATATGAACAAAAATAGTAAGTTTTAAAAAACTGGGGGACTTAATATAGATTCATAGAATTTCAAGTGTTGTTAAGCATTCCCAGTGACCCTATCCCATTTCACCTCCAACCACATTTTAAGGGTAGCTGAGCTTCAAACTATAGTTTAGAAAGCTTGGGAAATCAATTCTCACTTTTAAAATAACTTTTGTCACTGCAATAGATAAATGTATTTAACTCACAGTTTGAATGAATGGACCACTTTTATTTCAGGTGTATGTGCAATGTGGCATATATTTCTATTTCAGCCATTTTCCGTTGAACATAGGCTCAAGCTCATCTCATTATATATCTGATGAGATTATTTAACATCCACAAGGCATAAAAAATATGAGATAGTGAAAGAGCCTACTGAGGGAAGATAAACATAGGAGCGATTATAAAGAACATAGATTACTTGGGGGGAAAATGACCTCTAAGATGATATTGAGCAATCAAGACAGGAAGGAACATAGAAGGAATCAACAAATCACCAGGCAGAGAATGTTACAATCAGTAAGGGGATGTGCAAAAGGAAACCTCGTGTGTTCATCCCTGAGGGTCATCTTCCCCATGAATTCCTAATGCCATGTTGCTCCTAAGTCCATTCTGGTGCCATAACGGCTACTTTGCCAATGAGATATACAGTCCAGTGGTTCCCCCAAGTCTCTTTTTGTCAATTTTTTATTACAGACAGTTTCATTGCTGTGTTTTAGTTGCACACTTTTTGAGATCTTGGTTAACTTGTGTACTTGGTTAAAAGTATTATCCTATGCATAAACTATTTAAACAAATGGACAAATCTAATGGCAAAAAAATCTGGTAGGGTGTGTTCAAGCCATTTGTCCCTATCTTCATAATGATAATCACTGTGCACATCACGGAATATTCTAAGAAAGCTGTCCTCCTTTCCTCTTATATCTTCACAAAAAGTTAGTCCGATTCCAGACAGCAAAAATGTGTTGGTCTTCAGAGTTCTCATTAGCACATGATATTTGAAAAGGAATCTTAGTTTTCATGGAAGTTGATTTCAAACTTTGTTAAAAATTCAATGTGAACATCTTCAAAAAGCCTGAGATATTTCCATGGAACACAGTTTGAAACCACTCCCTGAGTAATTCTGAGATGACTTTCAAAGATTCCAGGAATCTACATCATTCTACATCTTGAGTGCTACAAGAACGATGCCCATATTACATACAGATCAGCTCCTTGAGGCAGGAGGGCTCTTGTCCCTTACAGAGGACACAGCTGCTACCATTCTTCACTCATTATTTCTTCCTGCAGAAAGTTTTGGTGGATGGAACACCTCAGGATGTGTCGCAAGCTCTGATTCGGATGCTGGTGAGACCATCTGCCTGTGTAACCACTTCACTCACTTTGGAGTCCTGATGGTAAGGGGAGTTCCTTGGCTCGTTTTGACACATTGTAATTATAGAGGGCACACTTCTTTTGTGTGAGCCGGCATTTTTAGATTATATATCTTAGAAATTGTTTCCTAGTCATGCACGTCTGTACCCTAAATCTTAAAGAAGCATCCAGTTAACAGAAGTCATGTGTTTACATCAAAAGACAGCATCATAGAAATCTACCTGATTTCAATTGTAGTGATCACAGTGATGAGAAGTAATTCCAGAACCAAAAAGAAATCCTCACGAACCCCCTTTAGTTTAAGGGAGAAAGAGTTAGTGGACAGAGACAAAAGGAAAAAGTATTGGGTGTTGCTGTCATAGAACACAATATGAATAGTCTGGTGAAGAGTTTTCTTCCTGACGCGCTATTTATTATGATTGCCTGCAAGCTGATATTGCGTCTTGTGCTAACTAATTTCTGCCCTGAAGAAGATAGTCTGTTAAGACAGCTAGTAAGTAGTTTGAGTCAGTAACTTAGTCCTGCTAGAAAGATGATCCCTGGAGGTTTCTCTCACCTTGAGCTTTTGATGTAACTCGTTCTATTCTTCCTTTCTCTTGTCCTTAAAAAGAAATCTATCTAGCCAGCATACTCAAGAGTTTTTGTAAAAATTTAGAGCAAATCAGTGTTTCATTTTATTGCATTCAATTTTCAAGATGCACCTTATTCCCACGGGTGTGTTGGAACTCACCCACGGTCAGTACCATTGATCTGGTACACTTGTGTAAGCACCTATCCAGTATGGAGAACAACTGGACTGTATCATAGCCATTGTTTTGACAGGGGTTCTACGAAGGGATCAACCACTACTCCTTTTTCATAGAAGATTAGAGTAATGGGAATTGAAGTGATACACTTTTTCCAGTTGGAATCACAGACATGAGGTTGTATTCATCTCCTCCCTTTAATCATATGGCCTTCCTCCTGTGGGGTCTGGGAGGAAGCAGTGAGCAACTGTAGACTGCAGTATTTGGCAGATGAACTACTTGGCCTGTGCAAATGACCATTGTCATATGAATTCACAACTCTGCAAGTTGTAAATTTCCTGACAACCTAGGATACAAATGTTCTGGGCAAGAAGAGCAAGGCTGACAAAAGTCACAAATCATAGAAAGTAACTTTAGTGCTCTCAAAATATATTTTTTCTTCAGGGGATTAAAATGAACAACTAAACCATACTGTGTTTTCACTATGCATTTTAAACAGAAATTCATATTTCCTCCCATCTTTTCTTTTCTTTAAAGGTGATTAAAGGTATAATCAGTCATTTGGCTATATGAGCTTTAGCTTAATTATTTCAAAAATGTGCATATATATTTGAAAATGATTGTGACTTTTATTTCTAGACAACTAGGTGCTAGTAAGAAAATTGACTTCTTAAAGTTGATTTAAATGCAGCCAGATTTTACCTGCACGTTCCTCTGATAACCAGTTTTACTGTATGTTATTTACATTTTATTGTGGGTTTATAAATGTATGTTGTGTTTTCTGTTGCTGTCTGAGTAAAAAGTTAAGTTTGCATGTATGGAGATTTACTTATTAGTGAATTTCCCCACTTTCCTTTTTGGCTTCTTTTGTAAGATTATGAACTGCTGGAAGAAAAACTTTCCAAAATTCATCCTTTCTGGCAATGTGCCTGCATCGTTTTGGTGCTTCCAGACCACCAACACTCGAGTCATAGTTTTTTCTTCTAGATTTACAAGTTCTTTGTTCACTTGTATAAGATACTTTAAATCTTCCCATGACACATAAACTTATATCTTTTATTCTATAATTGTGGAACATGTTTAATGTCCTTTTCTACATTTCTCTGGAATAAAAGTGACTTTCAGATTATTTTACATTCTTCTATCTTCATGTTGGCTGGCTTAGAAGGATACAATTGTCATGTGATCATTCTCAGAAGGCACCAAATGATATGAGAATTCTGTGAGAATTGCAATCGGCGTGTAAGATTACTTCTTTATTTTATTTAGTGACCAGTCATTTGTGTCACCTAGGTGGAAACAGTACTTTGACGAGTTCATCATCCTTGCTGATCTTTCAGAGATCCTAATTTCTCTATTCTAGTTCATCCTTCAGTGAGTGTACCATATAGGCACCTGTCTGGACTCTAGTGGCACTCACTGAACCCTATCCTCTGTGCCATGGGCACATGTCTTCTTAGTGTTTTGAGGGACTCCTGGACTGTCACAGCAGGGGAATGCTTTTCATAGCTGAGCATCTCTCACCTAGCAGGGGCTTAGGGGATTGGCCATGTTTGCATAGTAGCCTCCATTCATACTCATGCCCCTATCCTTGCAGAAACAGGTGTGATTGTATCCTCCACCATTTCTGTGGGGGATGCCTGTGGTTTCACTCTCTGGCTTACACTAGTGTCCAAGGAGGTACTGATTTAAAGCAGTGTGCGCCTACTTCTGTAATAATGCTTCATTTTTCTTTCATGGTTTGGTTCACAAGAGTGCAGCAAGTGGCTATGTCAGTGTTGGAGAGCATTGTTATTTCTAAGCCCTGTGATTGAACCGCTCTAGTGTGAACTGTGAACTTTCTAATGACATAAAGCATCACTGTCATGGATGAGGAATAATACAGCTGAATTGCATGTTTTGTTAGGATCTTCCAAGAAGTGCCTCACAGATAGATGGAAGAAACACAAAGGTCCTCACTTTCATCACCTATATTGGGTGTGGAATATCTGCTATTTTCTCGGCTGCAACTCTCCTAACATATGTTGCTTTTGAGTAAGTATATTTCCATCTGTGAAGCCTGGTGTTAACAATTGTAAATGTGAACATGAAAATTACATCAGCTTTAAAACACAATTCCACAGTTTATGAGTCATTTTGCTGTCTTGCCTTTGATCCTCATCTTTCCCATAAGATCATGCACCATGAATTTTCCAGGTATAGAATTTTAGTTTACAACTACTATATCTCTATTTGTAAAGTGGATTCAAGCCTGTTAGAGAGTATTAACACTTATGTAAATTAAAATGACATAAAATACTTACTACATTGTTAAAGGTAAAGATATTTACTTCATGAATTATATACAAGCATTCTTGAGACAGGAAATTTTTTGAAAGGGATCTCTGACTCATTAAAAATCAAGAACATTAAACAATTTGTGGGAAATTACTTTTTAAATAAAAATGTCAGGTCTAGAGGAATGGCCCAGCAACTAAGATCACTGGCTACTCTGGCAGAAGGACCTGAGTTTGGATCCCATCACTCGCATCAGGCAACTCATGGCCATCTGTAACTTTAGTTCCGGGGTCTTTAGACTTTAATGCCCTTTTATGGGTTTTTCTGGCATCCACATGAAGGTACACACACACACACACACACACACACACACACACACACACACACACACACACACAAACACACACAAGCAAGCACATAAATTTGGTTGATTAAATATTTAATTCTTATAACCGGAAAAATTCCTAAATTAAATACAAAATGTGAGCATAGTGGCTTATGGCTTTAATCCCAGCATTCAAAAAGCTCAAGCAGGGGCATTTCCATGAGGTAGAGGACAGCCTGGGTTGCATAGTAGATTACAAGGCACTGTGAGCTGCAGTAGAAGACCCTGTCTCAAAAATAGACAAGTAAATAAATATAAACTCTGTATAAACAAGTTAGGGATATTGGAAACAGTTTTGAAATGAAAATCACATTAAAAATTTCTTTGGAACCTGGCAAATATGCATAAATATCTTCACTCCTCCCGGGGGGTGGGACCATATCTTGTATATGGAGTTGCCTACTGCCAAGAATGGTGGGAAACAGGAACAGACTCTTGTTTTTAAAACATTGGTGTGCAGTGTTACTCCTTTCATACATTTTTCTTCTTCATCTTTAGGAAGCTGCGTAGGGATTATCCCTCTAAAATCCTGATGAACCTGAGTTCAGCCCTGCTCTTCCTGAATCTCATCTTCCTCCTGGATGGCTGGATCACTTCCTTTGATGTGGCTGGCCTCTGTACGGCTGTGGCTGCCCTGTTGCACTTCTTCCTCCTGGCTACCTTCACCTGGATGGGGCTGGAAGCCATCCACATGTACATTGCTCTTGTGAAAGTATTTAACACGTACATCCACCGGTATATTCTAAAGTTCTGCATCATTGGCTGGGGTAAGCCTCCCCCAGACATCCTTCCTTGTGTATCATACTGTAAGGCCCATAGAAGTATGGTGATTCACAGCATGCATAAGATAAAACAATCCCAAGGAAGAGACGCCCTCAGTTCCCCAGCACTGTGTGTTGGTGAACCTCTCCCAGTACTCAACTAAATTCAGGAGTAAAGTGAAAAGGCTTAGCCCCTGACTCATCAAGTCACCACAAACTCATTTCCTGAGGCCAGTGCCAACCTAGGGCTAAAGATGCAACTGACAGCACATTATGATTCCAAATATAGTAGCTAGCTAAACGCCTACCTCTACTCATCCAGGTTGTCGAAGCCATAAAAAAAGAGTATTATTTTCACATGCCTTTAGCTTTTTACCATGGATCCTTGGTCAGATATCCAAAGGCCATCCATATTAGCCTGCTCAGAATCTTTCTATTGAATGATTTTTTTTTTTAATCTGGGTTTTGTGTCAAGCTAGGCATCTTGAATCCCAATAACATATCTTTTTCAGATGGCAATAGTCAAGGCTGAGCCATCCCTTAGTTTTCCACATCCTGCCATAAGAAAACCCAAGGATCTCTTGAGGAACTGAGGAGGCATGGATGGCTCAAGGAAGTAGATGCAGGAGTGTTACTGAGTCTCCGAGGACAAAAGAAAAGCCATCATACACTTGCTGCTTATCTTTGACTTCTAGTCCTATCTAACTTCCTGTCTCATTGGCCAAACAGTATTTTATTTAACAATCAATAAGATAAACATACACAGTACATTCCCCATCATCTGCTTTTCCTAAAGTCTTTGCTTCATATAAAAAGAGTAAAAGCAGCTGCAGTCATCTTATCTTTCTGAACTCTGGTGTCCCAATGTAGCATCATTTACACAGCCATCCTGGCTGGTGCTGCATTACATAGAATCAGGGTCTAGATCTCCAGTGAGTACCACTAGACCCAAAAGAACACTCAAATATCTTATCATTCAAGAGTAAATCGTAACTATTGTCACTTAGAGTGTTATGTTCCACATTAAGGAGGGAATTTTGCTCTTGGTTTTAACCAACCAACCTAGTCACTCTAAGAAAATTGAATCTCTGTTGTAGGGGGTTTTCTTTTTCTCATTTACTTAAGAATATCAGTCTCACGAGGCAGTCCCAGAGTCTTCAGGAGCTCTCTCAATGTGATGGTCTTTTTATAACAGGTCTGCCAGCTTTGGTGGTGTCCATTATCCTAGCGAGCAGAAAACAAAATGAAGTTTATGGAAAAGAAAGTTATGGGAAAGAGCAGGATGATGAATTGTGAGTAATACACACTTGGGGGGAGATTGTGATGGGATACGTACTTGTCTCCTAATGTTTAGTATAAATTACCAGGGTGACAACAATGCACCAATTTTGAAGGTTTCAGTTCACCTGTGAGGATCTGTCCAAGGTCTTCTTACCACAGATTAATCATTTCAATGCTCAGAGGTACCTTTCTTTGTTTTAATACCACAGTACTATGTGGTCTGGAGAGTTCAGACACCTGAGATGCTCTCTGCTAGACTCAGAAGACTCGTTCAATTGGAGGAGATTCTGTACTATTCTCTCCTCCTTCAACCCAGAAATATCGGCAATAGCAGAAATGGCCCAGTGTCAATACAAGCATTTCACAGAACACAGGGTGGTCCATGAGTTCTTGGGGAAAACTTTCCTTCACAAGTTGAGGTCATTGAGATTAAGCAATTGACTCTCATGTACCTCATCAAGCATATGGTGGATCATTGATGTCTATTGATTTGAAGAATTACTGATTGCTCAATGAACATATTTTTTATTATGTGAGACCCCAATACATTGTGTAAACTTCAGGAATATCTCACACTTCTATACTTAAATCAGTTTTCATCCCTAATGGCCTTCCCTTCTTGTGTTTCTAAGGCCACACTATGAAACCCCAACAAGTTGGACCTGTAACAAAAACTCCTGAATCTTTAGGAGACTTCCATGTTTAAAGAAAATCTAGTGCCACAGACATGCAGTGTTATTGAGGGGACCCCCCTGAGAAACACTAAATTTTAAACTGAATCAGTTTTAAATGGGTGACTGTAAAATCTATCTTACTCAGTTGTCATAGGATTTTGAAGCTCTTTTTAAAGTTGTGCTATCATGAAATCTCGTTATTGAGCATTCATTGTATGCTAGAAATCATGTTGAGCTCTAGGACCTGAGGAGTTCAAGAGAACATTCACCTCAGTAGCCAGAATGAGGACAGTTTATTTTAAAGATGAATTTGATTTCCGGATATTACTGAATTTTTTAGGCACACAAGAATTTCCATAACTTAAAGAAACACCAGGACATCTGCAAATTGTATTGCTTTTCAGTTTCACCCAAGTTAGACTTTGCAACACAGACTAGTTATAATTTTTCTTCCATCTATTACCTGATATATTTCTGAAAAATCAAGTATATTCTTCTTAATGAAGATGTGTTACAATTTACATATACTTTAAAATTGTGTGCAAGAAAATCTATACATGAATCTTTTAATTCCATAATATCTTGTTGCAACTAGAACAGTTATATAAGTAATAATTGCTTTGTATAATTTCAATGTGACAAAGAAGTATAAATTTGCTAATCATAGATGACAAGGAGCTGGGGACATAGGTGACCACTAGCATTGATGTTGTGGCTAAAAATCACCAGGATCAACATTGCAGCTACTCTCCTGGTCCTTTCACAGGGACATAAGCAGACAGCTGTAATACCATGGCTCTCGCAAAAATCTCTTAGCACACTTCTGCTTCCATGTTATTTGGGGGGGGGATGGTGTTTACATAGCCACCCCTTGACAGGAAAGGACAGCAAAACTGAATGCTGAAAACCCCCATTGTTAGAGTAAGGACACACAAGAGAAAGGGTCAGATGTGGTTTTGAACCAGCCAAACAAGCATGCACTCATACTAATCAGAATTCAACAAGCAACCTCATTTGCTTTTTAATGTTGACTCAAATAATGAGATCAAGACAGCAGTCATCCAAAACTACCCCAACAAAAAACTGCCTATGAAAGGATCAAAGCAAAACCTGAAGCCCACGGAAGTAAGCAGACTTTTCATAGGTGTTTTAGAAAGAACTCTGCAAGCTGTGCAAACCAGGCCAAGGAAAGTCACGAGTAAACAGGGTGTGGTAGCCAAACTCTTTTATCTTGTTCTTCTTTTCCTTTAAGCTGCTGGATTCAGGATCCCGTGGTATTTTATGTGAGCTGTGCTGGGTACTTTGGAGTCATGTTCTTCCTGAATGTCGCCATGTTCATTGTGGTCATGGTACAAATCTGCGGGAGGAACGGAAAGAGAAGCAACCGGACCCTGAGGGAAGAGGTCTTAAGGAACCTACGCAGCGTGGTCAGCCTGACCTTCCTGCTGGGCATGACGTGGGGTTTTGCTTTCTTTGCTTGGGGACCCTTAAATATCCCTTTCATGTACCTCTTCTCCATCTTCAATTCTTTACAAGGTAAGATAAGTGGTACCCAAGCAGTGGCTGCTTTCTAATTTTATCATATTTGCAGACAGCTTCCCTTTTGACAGAACAGGTCAAGTTTCTATTATTACTCCAGGTGTCAAGCATAGTTTCAGGCACAACTGGGCAGTTCATTAAAAAGCTCTTGGAGAGGTAAAGAGGTGGCAGGTTAGCAGACTCTTCTTTCCTGAGTAATAGATTCCAGGCATATTAGAGCAGGGCCTGGTAGACAGCAGGTAGTCAAGAAATACAGCATCATGCAAAGGAGTATGGAGCAGCATACTGTGTTAGCTGAGAGCATAACTAGAAGTTTATGGGGGCCCAGTCAACTTTTGTCTTCTCTCTAGTTCAGGCTGATGCCGCTGCCCTTCATGCAAACTGTGTAAGTTTCCCAAGCATGGGCAGAGCACTTCACCTTACCTCCTAAGCTCCTTGGGTTTAAAAATGAAATCCAACTCTAATTCAGAAACTTGGTTTTTTCTATGAGATACAGAAATTAATTCAACCTATCAAACATACCAGTGCCCTGTTTTGAAAAAATATAAGCTATATATAATATATTAATAATCTATATATCATATGCATACATATAGGAGAGAGAGAGACAAACAGACAGGAAGAGAGAGAGACAGAGAAATTGTCTCACTGTGTAGCCCTGGCTAGTCTGGGACTTGCTATATAGACCAAAGGCTGGCCTCTAACTCACAGAGATCCGCCTGCCTCTGCCTACTGCACCACCATACCTGGTCATACAATCATAATTTTGATTCCACAATGCACTCTCTAGTGTTCTCTAAATGAATGTATGCCGGTTACATCTTGAAAATTAAATACTTTCTTTGCTTTGTGGTGCTGAAGATTAAACCTAGGGCCTCCCACACGTCAGGCCTCTGCACTGCTTCCCAAGTCTTTCTATAACATTCTTCAAGATACCAGACAATCTGCTTTCTTATGACAAAACTCAGAGTACTGAAGTACTATGAGCAAAACAAATCATAAGAAATTAAATGGTAGAGTAGGAAATATCCTCCCCCTTGTGTGTGTGTGTGTGTGTGTGTGTGTGTGTGTGTGTGTGTGTGTGTGTGTTTCACTGTGTAGTCCCGGCTGACCTCAAACTCAAAATCCTACTTTGGCCACTTGAGTGCTGGGATTGTAGGCCTCCAGCACCTATACCATCAGAGCCTGGGTTATTTTCAATGAGAACCCTACTGATTTTGCTGAAGCCACTCTTCTGCTCATACAGTTACAGATGTGTGGAAGAACACCTAAATACATCCAAACGAATCTAAGCTGGGGTGGAAAGCAGGGTTGTACTCCTCAAAATTCAGTCACCTCCCTGGGTGTTCCCCATTGCCGTATCTAAGATGTATTAAGTATTACTCACCACCCTGCAACTTGTGCTAGCTCTTGAACTGAAGCAGTTGTTACAAAGTAGATGTGCTGTGACTATTAAATAAATAAGACTGCTGCATGAGGGAAAGGAGAGGCCTCAAGCATGGCCTAGATCCAATCTGAGATGCCACTGGCATAAATACTCATTGATTAATCCAGCAAATTTATTCAGGCTCATAATAGACAAAACATGCAGGCTTGTTATCATGAATACATGGAATAATAAGTCTCGAGAGTATATCCTTAAGTTGGAAACTAGATTTTTATCGCTATGAACACATCTACACAGCTCGGCAAAGGCAATATCCCTCTATTTAATCTCTTTTATGATACACTACATAAAAGTGCCCAAGTAAATATTGACAAGAGTGTCCACTTGCATTAGGAATTCTGTGGTTTTATTTTGCAGGATTGTACTTGAAAGGCACAATCATCTGCCTGCCCAACCTTGGTTTCGCTGTTAGAATTTCCTGGCAGTGAACTTCAACATTTGTCTGTACAGCTCCATTTCCATTAATGAGAATTGGGATGCTTTAATTTTTCCTAGCATGGGAAAAATATCAGCTGTCATCAAGTCAGTGTTATTCATAAATCACTGACTTTAAGACTAATTTTAAATCATATACATTCCAACCAATTTTATCCACACCCAATGATACTAAAAAGCATCTCCTAAGATGGGTGTTGGTGGCGCACGCCTTTAATCCCAGCACTCGGGAGGCAGAGGCAGGCGGATCTCTGTGAGTTCGAGACCAGCCAGCCTGGTCTACAAGAGCTAGTTCCAGGTATCCTAAACAAAAACTTAAATACAAAGACCTTGATAATGAGGACATGGCTTTATAGAAAATTATTTCACCAGCCAGGCCATATGAAAACTTCCTGGAACAGTGTATAAATTTTTAATGGCTTTTATTGGTGAGCTGGTTTTAACCTTCAATATGAGGCTTTTTTTTGTAAGAACTTTATGCTTTTATTAGAAGCATGTAGACTCATGTGCAGTGGTGATTCCAGAGCTTGGGAGGCAGGAACAGAAAGATATTAGTTCTAGGTCATTCTGAGTTACATAAAAAGGCTCTGTTTTCAAAGGGGGAACAGAGTAAGCTCCACAAGGCAATGAAACTGAGAAAATTCTTTTTTCTGAAATGAAGAGGATCAGAAATAATGGTTTGATTTATCTACTGTCTAAATTCTATATGATCCCCATAATTTTGACTTCCCTAACAAGCTCAAGTTATACAGTTTAATTTATACCTGGAACTTAATCCTCTATTTTCTATTTCCAGGGGAAAAACAGTATCCATTAGCTGTTAAGTACAAGCAGGCCCTCTTCCATACCCACATGCAAGAGCATGATAAATGCATTGCATAGTTCTGCAATCAGAAGCTGTTGTAGTGAACACAAAAAAGTGATTATCAGTCTGCTCAGAGACGTCTGCCGCTACTTGCATTGGTAATATTAAGATACCCAGAGCAGCAGAAATCATGAACATTTGTGTAGTGCATGGGAATTAATGAAACACTTTCATCTAACATCTGTGATTTTACAATCAGGCTCCTAAGTCTGAAAAGCAGGAACTTCAGAAAGAGGATATAGTCTCCTTTTTAATAGGCAAACTGGTGGCCTTTTCAATTCAAAAAGCTAATGACTTTCCTAAGATCAGTTTGCATCTGACAATGAAATACTAATAACATATATATGCATATATATATGGAAATTAGAGAGCACATTAATAGGTGACAAAAGATAAAATGTATAGTTTTCAATAGAAATAAAACTAAAGCAAATTCCTTAACTGTTCCTCAGTTCATGCCAGTGTTCTCATTTAGGAAGTGAATATCTATCTCCATTTAGTAAAATACTAGCAAATATGCTTTTAATAAGTTAGTGGGAACTTTGTTTGATATTCTGCAGGCACTGTCATTATTCTCAATCCCATTGGCAGACCAAGGCATTAAGCTAAATTTTGGGATGCACTAGATCAAATGCCAGCTGAATCTCCCTGGCCCAGTTGGGGGCTTCATGGAAGTTAAACTTCAACACAGCAACACACACACAATGCACATGTGTAATTGCTGCCAAGGTAATGATGATCCACCTTTCAACGCCAGACACCTAAAACGACATCAAGTGGGATGAAACATGACACACTGCAAGGAAATATATTATTCATCTATCCTTTGACAGGGCATTTCATGCCACAGAGAAGTAATTTTGTTAAGGGTATCTTTGTAGTATGAAAAGAAGATTCAAAACACATTTCCCAAAACAGCCATCAACCCAACTTAACAATAGCTGGCTTTGTTTCAGTGACAAGTCTTGGGTGCAGAGTCACTCAAGAGCTTAGAAGCCATCTAGGCTGTTTCCCCATTGGTCAAGAATGTACTCACATTGCCTCTTCTCCCCAAGTAGCTGGTTTGATGAATGAGTGACTGATTTTCACATCCAAAGTCCAAAATTTATAGTCATGATCGAAGACACCCATCACACACTGCTGCTCACTTCACTCCCTCTCAAACCCTTCAAGTTGTTTATGTTATGGTACGTTAATGCATATGTCTTCTCTCTGTGTTTCTATAGGGTTATCGTTCAGGTTCAGAAAAGGTGAATTTCATTTTATTATTTTTGTCCAAATCTATTGTTTACTTGTACCAGTGGCCTTTAGATATTAAGGACTTTCAGAGATGAGCAGTGAAAAGTATCATTGTCCCTTGCATGTGGACTCAAATGAGACCTTTTGGACGGCTGGCCACTTGCGCTGACTTCGACTTTACTCCTTCCTATCTAGGGAAACTCTTTCTGGCATGTCTTTTTAATTTTTTGATAATTAAGCTCAGCATTTGAGAAATAGCTACTCATTTTCCATATACTCATAAAAGCCATATTTCTGCCTGAGTCAAGAAAAGGGAATGGGACTCAAATTTCTAATAAAAATATCACTTCCTATAGCTAAATAGCTCTATAAGGATCAAGATTAAAGGCAAGTCATATGATCCAAAAGTCTTGCCTGGTTACCTGAGATGGCCAGTTCAGGCTCCATATCCCCCACTGCTGGGAGTCTCAGCCAGGAGTCTCAGGGATTCCTGGGAGGTTCTATTGCACTAGGTTTCTAGCACTTTAAAAATATTTCACACAAGTTCCTTGAACTCATCCTCTCTGACTACATTCTATGTGTGATTCTCAAATTAATTCATATTTTAGATCCCCAAAAGGTCAAGTTTACTACCTAGTTCTTTTCTAGTGTCTCAATAATCTCATAAACATCTTCTGAATTTTCTTTTCTCTCATCCATCTGTGTGGCATGTAAAAATACAAGTGTGCTACAAAAGAATATTGATAGAGTATGAAGGAAAGCAATGTCTACAAAACTTCACCTTTTGCTCTCAACTGAAAGATAGTCACTGGCTCAGAATGAGGCCCTAAGGTAACCCTTTGATTTATGCTAGGTATGAACATCTTTAAATGAGTATAGTTATCTTCCAGCTCACACGGGCGATCACACCATACAGGTGTTTAAGAGCATACAATTACACATGTTCTCAGTTATATAACAGAAAAATCTCCTAGGGCACATTTAATAAGCCCAAGCCAGCAGGCAAGGTCTGAACTACAGCCTCCTTTGTCTGCAACCACTGTAGATTTCACCTTATGTCTCTTTACTCTCCAGTCTCCACACTCTGTAGCTCTACAGCACCCTACAACTTAGAAGCAATGTGTACATCGAATTGCTTACTTGCTGCTTCTAAGTTGTAGGGTGCTGTAGAGCTACAGAGTGCCGAGACAAACAAAAGTTTATTGGGGTATCCTTAGGAGCACACTGGATTTGGTAGGCATAGCACTCTGAGTCAGTCATCTGGTTGTGGACGTGAGGTCCCTTCTGACCAATGCCTCCTCTCAACTGCCAAGGAAGGATAGTCAACCCCTAGACATTGCCTCTAAATCCTTAATATGGAAGAGAGTCTTTCCTTGCTCTGAGACCCCACTCCCACCCAATGCCCTTCATAGACCAGGTCAATGTGCAAGCAGGTGTCGTCCTTCTCACTCGCCTCCGCCTCCTCTAACCCACAGCATAGGGATCTTGTGGGTGGGTATATTTCTGAATAACTAAAATTTCACCTTTATGAAAACTGTCTTTTTGTAGTTAGAATTACTTTGTTAGTAAAATTTGAGATGTTTCGTATTGCATATGATATGTTTTGATCAAGTCCACTCCCCATTCCCTTCACTCCAGTTCCTCCCATTCTTCCTTCCAATACTTTATTCCCACAAATTCATGTGCTTATTATATATACATATGTACACACACACACACACACACACACACACACACACACACACACACACACACACGTGTGTGTGTGTGCATGTGCGCGCCCACACATATATGTCCCACTTGTGCTGCCAGTATATGCATGGGAGTAGAATCATCTACTAGAGCATGGGAACCTGGAGGCCACATCACTACAGGAAATCCTCCCTATCCCAGGAGACATCAGTTACCAATAGATCCTCAGCTAGAGGTGGGACAACTATGTCTGACAACTTGAGTTTGAGTCTTAGGACTACAAGATAGAAGAAAAGCTTACTGCTGTATATGTGTACATATATATATATATGTATGTATATATATATGGTTTTTGGCAATAAAATGTTTCATAAGTCAAAAAAGATATGAACTACCAAATATAAGTTCAGTTGCATTTTGCAAACTTAGCTATACATATCAAACTGTCAAACCTTTTTTGTGCTATCTTTTAAAACTTTATTTATTATTGATGTATGTATGTAAGCTTAAGGGGGACACATATGTCCTATTACACACATGTGGAGTTCAGAGAATAACTTTATAGAGTTGGTTCTCTCCTTACACCTTTATATGGATTCTGAGGTGATCCTCAGGTCTTTGGCCTTGAGTGTCAAGCACTTTATCCACTGAGCAATCTCTTTTGCCTGCCCACATTTTTTAAATTATTGCTTTTTAATCATGCAAGCTATAGTATAATTTAGGTCTCTTAATGAATGCTCCAAATTCAAAAGAAACCAATAAGTTTTATTGTTCCTGAAAATGCAATAACTTTACTTTTATGCCACTTTATGAGATTCTTGGATTCATTACTATTAAGGATCAGCCTTATTCTTCTTGAAAATTCCAAATGCCAAATTCAGTGCTTCACAGTCACTGCACAAATTAACCTTCTAGAAGCTTCCTTCACCTTCCTTCCACTCCAAGAATTTTAAAGGTTCCATTCTAATCTGCATCTTCCGAAAGGCCCTTCCTCGTGTAGACATACTATCACCATCACTAGTATAAAATAAAATGAGAGTTTTACCTGAAAATTGATTAGATGTTTTTCAGAAACTTATGCCTTAAAAGTATTGTCATTATAGTCCTATCATCCTTTAATTTGCATAGAACTCAGTCTGTTCTATTTTTATTTGTTTTGTTTTATAACAAGGTTTCCCAATGTAGCCCAGACTGGCCTTGAAGTTATTCTCTTGATTCAGTCTTCAAAGTTTGGGGTGTGCCCCTATTGCAACAGTGTCAGCTAGTATACACACACACACACACACACACACACACACGCTTCTATGTAGGCCAAAGTTGACATTGACATTGGATGTCTTACTTGCTTTCAACCTTATTCATTAAGGCAGGGTCTCTCATTTGAACCTAAAGATAATCAATATAGCTAACTGGCAAGCCAGCTTGCTCCAGAGAACCCATGTCTCCACCATCACCCTAACTACCTAGCTTCTATGGAGGACCTAAGGATCTGAACTCCTGTCTTCCTGGTTTTACAGCAGGTGCTTTACTTATTGAGCAATCTTCCCAGACCATACACAGGTCTTATCTTTAACTCACTACTTCTAATCACGTCATCCCTTAAAATGAGCATATGTTCACTTATTGAACACAGGCTGAATTCATCTTATTAATCTGATTACTATATTTACTCATTAAGGAAACATTTATTTATAATTCCTTGCATTGCTTCAGGAAAGCTATAGCACATAGACAGACAAACGACTATATTTGGAGTTTAATAGCCAATACTAAGAGATAACAAAAAAATGACCAAACCAGGAAAACAAGGCTACCATGTCCTGATCAGTGTGCACAAAAGATAATGAGTAGGGACTAAATTAAGAATGAATTAGAACTTCAAACAGTGGCCTCTCTGGGGTGTTAATGGCTGGTATGGGGCAAGAGACTGTTACTAAAATATCTGAAGAAACAGTGGGTGAGAACACGCCTGATAGATGGAGGAAAAGAAGAATGTTCAAGTGGTTTAGAGGTCATAGTCAGAACTTTTGTTAAGAACATCTGAAGTTTGAGATGAAGAAGATTCAGCCAAGGCGAGATGTCCTAGAAGCTGTGTGGGTGGGAATCCCGTGTTGGGGAGGGATGGGAATGAAGCCAAAAATGAAAAGCATTGTTGAATGTTGAGTCTTAGGATTCAACATTCCTCACAACATACAATGTGAGTGTAGTTAAGTCATAAGGCATGGTGAACAGGCAAAGTTGGAGTCAGATCCATGCACTCATTCTGAATTTACCCAAGTCTCTGTGTTCTTCTGTAGAACAATTAAACTGCCTGCTGCATCCACTAAGAGTCCATTCTTTAAGATCTTTGTCCCTCAGTAACTTAGTTTTAAAATAGTAAGATAATTCCACATAGTTAATAATGTTTATCATTTAAAATGCTCCATTCGTCTTAAATATTCACATATTTTCTTGCCACAGGTTTATTTATATTTATCTTCCACTGTGCAATGAAGGAGAATGTTCAAAAACAGTGGAGGCGCCACCTCTGCTGTGGCAGGTTTCGGCTAGCAGACAATTCAGGTAAGGGCATGGGGTTGAGTGGCTTTCATTTGGAGAAACAGTTGAAATCATTGGCATTCTTCCTTGTGCTGTCAGAGCAGCAAAATCCACTGAGAGTGCTGTAGAAACAGTGTGGGAAGATGCTGAGCTGGTATCTTGGAACATTCTATATTGGACCCCACCTTTGAATGTTGTAGAGAATAAACAGGAATCCTAGACAGGTTTAGAAAATTGCTTAAGTTTTGACATCTAATTTGACAATTCATATCTCCAGGTTCCACTACAGTAAACCCACCTTGCCATAGTTTTAGGTCCTCAATTAAAATGTAGGGGAAGAGAATGTTCTCAGGATACATAACATTTGAAAGAAAGTGTCACTAACCTTCTAAACACCTGCGATTGCTTCTTACCTATTGGGTATTGAAGTAGGATACTAAATACCATACACATGGGGTCAGAGCAAGATAGTTCTGTCCCCAGCCTCTCACTGTTTCCATGTCAATCTCTTTAAGTCACTGAGTGTAGTAGAAAACTGGATGTTCTGGATAGATTAAATGACACAGTGATAGATTTCTGGGACAGCTTGTATTTTCTATAAGCCAACTAATAAAGCCCCATCCTTTGTTCTTTCAGATTGGAGCAAGACAGCTACCAATATCATCAAGAAGAGCTCTGATAATCTGGGGAAATCTTTATCTTCAAGTTCCATTGGCTCCAACTCAACGTATCTTACATCCAAATCAAAATCCAGCTCCACCACCTATTTCAAAAGAAACAGCCACTCAGGTGAGTCACTCTTGGCCATGTAAAGTTTCTCCTTGTTGTTTTCCACCCAGCCATTTTCATCACAAAACTGACTGACACTGGCTGGTAGATCCCAGTGCCTGCTAGAGGGTGATTGTAGACTTACATGACCTACACTGTCCATCTAAAGACTATCCATCAGCGTTGTGAGTTTTCAATTTAAAATATTTTTAGCCCAACTGCTTCTAGTCTACATCCATAATATCACTAACTCTCAATAGTATAACTTCAAAGTTTAACTTGAAACAGTTTTCTTTTTGAAATTGTGATACTTCATTTTTAAAGTAATTTCTATTTAGAAATACAGAAATGAAATTTCAAAACACTTCAACCCAGTAGGAAACTTGCCAGGATGAAACCGGCAAGTTGGCATGGGGGTAGGAAGAGGCACCATGTAAGATCTATGTTTTGATTAAGACTTAATTCCTTAACCATTGGAAGTGACAAGGAGCAGTAAGTGGCAACCATCCCTTAGCAGGCTAATAAAATATGAAAGAACAGAGCACAATCCTCATAAAGTCATAAGGACTGTGAGAAACACTCCTTTTGTTTGTGTCCTGTTTGTTCAGCACAGCTGCTGTGGTCACATGTTCTGACACTAAGCATATACACAAATGATTGTGATGACAACTGGGAAATAAGAATGTTTTTGTATTACTTGAAAGTGAGATATGTGAAAGGTTTAAACTTTTAACTTCCAAGGAAAATGATAGGATTTCTAGTTTTAGATACTAATTAAGCCCTTGACAGGCAGCTGTAGTGTCTTAGCACACACTGCATTCCTAAAGCTACATCTAAGAGTGTAATGGAAATATGTTTAAAATGTTTACTCCACATAGTTATTACATATGAGCAGAAGTGAATGGCACAGAAAAGACTAGTAGTTGACATTTTTCTAAAAAGGAGAGAGATGTGTGAGGTGTCTATACTTGTTCATGTTGCAAACACTGAAATTATAGTTTATTTGCAAGTCTAAATCCCTGTTGGTTGTTGGTGGGGCAGCTGTCTATTGATGATGGCTTGGGGTGTGCAGAGAGCAGCCTCATAAACTCAAAAATAAGTAGTTGGTTTATTTCTTGGAATTGATCTAGACATTCATATGTTTATGGTATAGATAATTTCTCCTAAGAGAATTCCTTCAACTAAAGTGGAACATTCAGGTAACTTACACTGCTTTTTCTTGGATGCATGAATTTGTACAAGGTAGTGAGAATGTCTGCATGGACTAAGCTAAGGTTCTTGCTGCACCAGCAAAATGGCTTGTTCTTTACAGTACTTCTCAGCTAGCACAATGGTACTCCTGCGCTGAGCTGGAATCTGAGATTTCTGACAGTGGGCTGTGCCGGCTCTTCTCTGCATGTGGTATGCAAGCCGTGCCTTCTAAGAAATGTACCATATGTACCATATTCCAGAAGAATGGGCCACATATCATGTAATATGATGACAAAAAAAGAAGTGCTTAATAAACTTTTCGTGATATGATGTGACTTCTTTTCCTTTCCAATGTCTTTTGGATTACTGGATATGTCATGGTACATTCATAGAAGTCTTGAATGAGAAATTTGTCAATTGCAAGCTGCTTGTGCCTTCAATATATGTCAAATAACAGTTCATATCTCTAGCCCCTGGTTTTCATATATACAAACTAAATCTTCGCTACCCATAATGTGGTATTTAACCAGAAGCCATGGGATATCATGTATGTATATGATGTACCAGATGCATACACACAGAGCTCCTGCTCTAGGAGAGCATGGAGAACCATCCGGTGGGGTCGTGGTATAGGACCAGTGATAGCCTCTAAAAATTCATGCCCTTGGAAACTGTCCAGGAAGCAGAAAGGATTGGTCTTCAGCATTTCTCTGAGGACTTGTGGTTTGCTAAGAACGTCAAGCACAAATCATTCATTATATATATTTAATTTAATAAATAATAATCCTCAACAGAAAACCAGTGGCTAGCAAATCCATGAACCTGAAGGAAGCACAAAATCAACCAGCTTGCTGAGAGCCTCATGGGCAGGACCTTTTCTGTGACTCCTCCAGGCTTTTTCTCATCAGTGCTAGGACATGCTTTAGTCATGCTGTCATTCCATCTGCCCATCTTCCCATGAACCATCTCTTCTTCCCCCTTGTTTCCTTTAGTATGGGATGGCACTGCCATTTCCTGTTTTAGGCCTTTTTTGACTTGGTGTTTGCCCTAACACAGATCAGTAGTGGAGCAGCAGATAGCATGAAGATGGTTTGGACTTTGGTCACCTCTTGATGCATTTTACAGGGCAATTCACATATGGGGGCCAGTCTACTCAAGACACAAAAGGCTTGAAGTAAATACTGCAATTCAGAGCTCCGGCTACTGAGATGAGTGTTTTGGGGGCAGCATTTTTTTGTCTCTCCCTCCAAGTGTAGAGGAGAACTAGAGAGGAGATACAACTATAGTGGAGCCATTTTTTTTTCCTTTAGCGTCTCTCTGAAGTCTGTAATTTGGTTAATCCGAGGGCAAAACTTTTCCCAAGGTGTATCAGGAAGCAGAAGACAGACCCTGATTATATTTATAGAAACATAAAAGTTCACATAGATAACAAGGGTGGTAAGAGTTTCAGCTTTCAGACCATCACCTGAGCCAATTTTAGAGTTCCTGAATCTATAGAAGAACAGCATGCACTTATCTAGGATGGAAAAATCCTAGAAATGTATTTAGTGGTCCTCAGTTGCTGTTGTTATCTCTGCCATTGTTGCTTCTGAAATATTGCCAGTGAAGAGAGTTTTGATTTTACAATATGATAATGCTTCTGCTGACCTCCATTCAAATCACAGTTGTGATCAGGAGGCAATGCACTCAACACAGTCTTTCATGCTTAAATTAAATCATGTTGAAGTTTTTATGACAGTGTCAAATTTACATATTAAGTGGAGTGGAGTGAGTCTCCTTGCACTTGTGACCTCAGAGGCATCTATATTTTCACTTTTCCCTGCTCTTTATTATTTGCAAAACATATCTTAGATGTCATATCTTTTTTCATGACTTACTAATTCAGTTACTAATTCATTTCTGACTTTGGGGCCATTTGGTGGATATACTCTTGAAAACAAAGTTCATCTATCTTATTCATTAACTCTGAAAAATGGCACTTGGGGGGAATATTTTATTGTAACAAGCCATGATAGAAATTACATGAAGGCAGGTTGACATTCCATGAATATTAAAATTGAGTTGAAGGGGGAACATATTTGAATGCTACCCATTCCCTAGCCAGTCAGAGAATCCCAAACTTCCATTCTTTTGTGTGCTTCTTGAGTGTGATGGCCTTAGGCTGGTAACTAGCTCATCCCAAAACCTAATCTCTTGTAATATTTCTTACAGACAGCACTTCCATGGACAAGTCCTTGTCAAAACTGACCCATGCTGGTGGAGAGCAGACGTCAATCAGCCCTGTCCATCAGGTTATTGATAAGGTCAAGGGTTATTGTAATGCTCACTCAGATAACTTCTATAAAAATATTATCCTGTCAGATACCTTCAGCCACAGTACAAAGTTTTAATGTCATTGATATGAGGGGAAAAAAGAAAAGAAAAAAAAGGAAACCTGTCTGGAGAAGTGTGAAGCTCTACAGGCAGTGAAAGCTATGCCCAGCGGAAGTCGATGTGCTGTTACCTAGGTAACTGCAGAGCCTTAAGGATTGGATCTTGTTAGAGAAGCTTTCGTGAGATGCAGACTTCATCTTTTCAGAATATTTCTTCTGTGGACCAGCTTCAGTCATCACTCTTGAGAACTGAGAGCACCTTGAACTCTGCAATTAGATAGGACATTTTTTAAATGAGTAATTGAATCAAACTCATCAGAATTTGAAGGAAAAGGTATTAAAATTAGAGGACATAAAAGGAAGAAACCCAAGAGTGAATTCTAGTGTAGATCTCATCTACCCCATCTCACGGTTAGGCTTGGATGTGGCCTGATTTTCATAAAGACTACGTAGAAAACACACTAAATAATGTTTGTAGTGATTTTTGGGTGCTCACGGGTTCTGTTCCAGTGCTATTTTCTATGAATATAGCAGCGTTTTTTTCTTTTTCAGTGAAATTTCAACTGTAAGTAGAAAAGATGTTTAATATTTGACCTGCATAAAATTAAACTTGCTTTGTTCCCTAAAATGATAACCATTTAACTTTCATGAATGTAACTTGCTAAAAAAAAGTATACCAAAAATTTGATCTAGTTGATATGGTATATAAATTTCCAATATCTCAAGACATAAAGCTTAAACATCACCACCATGCACAGAAGTGAGTGTGGACTTTGCATTAAAGTGGGCTCTCTGAATGTAAAGAACAAACCTGCTACACACATACCCCCATCCTCCTTCACTGTGCATTGGGCCCACTGGCTCCGGAGAGGAGTGAGAATTCCAGTTAAGCACCCTGTATGGAATGGCCTCTCACCATGTGAAGAACACACTTTTGACATTACGTGAAACTATCTGTGCTTTAATGATTTTAAGACCAAAATCAGAGACCTCACATAAACTTCAGAGACCTCTGACTTCCCCTGGAATTTTCTTCCATCTATCATACACTGAAACACACAGCTGGCTCAGTTAACCAAAATAATTTATAAATATCTAGGTCTACAACTGCTAGTCAAAAAACTATTTGCACTCAGCCCTCCAATCAGAGTGTGTAAGAGCCTAAGGAGGGCCATCGAGATATACTACTCTTTGGTGTGATATTTATGGATGGACTGTGCCATGCAAGTCACGTATAGCATTAAGCAGCTTACTAAATCCTAAACGATCCTAAACAATGTGTGCTTGCTAATGAGGGTATAGGTTGTTCTCAAGTGATGGAATCCTATCTGCTGGCTTCAGTACATGCTGGCTTTAGCCTTGCTCAGGGTTGTCCAGGAGGTTTCAAGTATGGCATAACAGCAGCACAAGATGACAAAAGAAAGAGATTCTGACAGAGGCAGTCAGCAGGCAGAGGCCAGACCTGAACCTCTGTGCAGAAAGTAGGTCATTCGCAGATAAGAAGACCTTGCAGGGTTTGCAACAGATGCAGGATCAGCTGAAGTCTCACTGAGTGTCAATCATGAAGCTACTTGCCAGGCTGCAAAAGATACTGATAGAATGCGGTGGTGGATTGTTGTTGCCATTACATTTTGTATCAGCCTGGACTGCCATCTTGGTGCACATGAGCTTTGCTGGGCCTGGCTTTCACAGAGGAGGAGGCCGTTTAGGAGAAAGATTCACTAGCCAACCCTTTCTTTGGGCTTATATTAGCAGGCTGCTCATTGTGCCAGAGGATACATATGGGAAAATTGAAGCTCCAACAGTCACTAAATATTCACATACTCCCACCACAAACTTAGGTGTTCATGATAGATTTTAATTAGCTCTCTACTGTGAGATTTCTGCACAAAGTGCATATTTAATAATAAAAATTATGACATAGCTTCAAAAATGGCTTTGCTTTTGATTTCTACTTGAAAGTATTCAGGTCTGAGAAAGTCTTTTTTTTAGTTTTTCATATTTGGCAACAATGTCAGCTCCACTTAAAAATATGTCCGATGAACAGGTAAGGGGAAAAAATGAAGAAACATCTGACTAGAAATATTTACAAGTGGATTTAAAAGACTGATCCAAATTCTACCTTCAGTTCCAAGTATGTGTCTTCATTTGCATTTGGCCCCTGAGAAGAACAGGGCAGGAATTCCACTGAGGAACTAGTCTCCAGCCTCTGCTCACCTCTAAAACAGTGCCAGGCTCTGGTCCCCCCCCCCACACACACCCTCTCTTTTCACTGGGTAACAGTAGAGTTTTAGTCTAGGGTCCTGAGATAATCTCCATTCTTGTCACTGGTTCTTACCGTGTAAAGATTTTCTTTGTCGTTGGCATTGTCTCTTCTGTACATATTTATTTATTTGTGTTCATGTCAGTTTTGTTTCCTATCTTAGCTTTCTGTTGCCCAGCTTTGTTGTTTTAATTACTTTTCTATTAGAGAGACTATTTTTTCCTAGAAAAATTGTGAAACAGTTTTCTGTAGCGATATCGTTGAATATGATGGATAAAAGCAACTGTGAGGGCATACTAGAATTAGTAGTGAGAAACTGCTAAAGCTGATTTGCCATTTTACCAAAATGGAAAATGATTTTTCAAATAAATACTTATGTTGTTCATGTTCCAAATTATTCAGTTCCTTTATGAGTGAATGCTTCTATTTCTGACTCTTAAATGGGAGAAAAATTATTTGACAACTGGAAAATAACCTTGCCACCAATAAATCCAATGACATGGGGTGACTTTGCCAAAATACTAGGAATGAATATGTGACGAAGATCCAGATCCTGGGATTGATGCACTCTGATGTTAGAATTTCTTAGGACAACTGATACAGAGCCAGGCTGTATGGTATCTAAAATACAACTTAGGCTTTTTCTTTTGAAGGAATGTCTAGAGCATCCAAAATAAAAGAAAAAGAAAATAAGGAAAGAAACAGAACATCGTAGTGTTATGTAGAATTCAGGGTTTGTGGTATATTTCTCACATTTACAGTTGCTGCTGTTTCCATGACAGGAGACTTGGCAACTGATCCGTTTTAGTCAACTTCACTTGCATAATCAGAACAGAGGCACCCACTTCCCTTCTCCTCTGGTAACTTAGAATCATTCCTTTCTGCAGAGCCAATTTGGCTCTCAGGCTTCCACAGCAACTGTGTGCCCAGCACTAAGTTGTGAGCCGCTTTGGCAGGTCACTGCAAAACCAGACCTTCTACGCCAAAGCTTACAACTCTGGGCCAAGTCATGTTAAGAAAACAGGAGTTGCTCAAGGCCCATCTGCAGACCTGTGTGATCAGGTCACTTCTGAAAGCATAGGTGAGCAGCAGCTCACAGGAAACCCCTGTTTGACTTCCATGCTGTTCCATGTTTGTAGCATTTCTGAAGTCTCATGACTTGGGCTTTGTAAATGCAGTGCCCTGGCCAGGCTTCAGAGTTCTCAGCTCAATAACGTGCCGCTCTTTCATATCCAAACTTAATCTTTCTCCTTCCTGCTCCTTACTAACCCCCACCACTTCACACTTACTTCTTTTCCATTTCATCTCTCTCCTTTGCACATTACCTCCTTTCTTCATTTCCAGGAAAAATGATTTGCATTCCATTTTTCTTTCTCTGCCTCTCTCAAGAAAAAAGTAAGAATAAATGTGAAATTTTCAAATATGGCCTACTTTCTGTGAGGAGATAAAGGAAAAAGGAAGACAATATTTTTCTGAGGAAGCTCAGATTTAAAAAATGGAGGTAATTTGAATCCAATGGAAAAGAAACTCATAAAATCTGTGAATACCTTTCTTTGGACGTCAGAGGTCTTCAGTCATCGTGTGTGATTGTTATCATAACTCTATGAGGAAACTCTGCTATTTATCTTCCATCTGGGGGAAGCTGGTAATTAAAAATAAGTACCCTCCCCATGACCAAGCCAACTCCTCAGACTTTTGTTCCCTCTCACTGCAACACACTTAGCAGATTTCTTCCATGACTATAGATAGGAAGGAACCATCCAAGGTCAACACGACTGCAGAGAAAGTTAAAGAGAAGCTTCTAGATCTTCAGACAAAACTATGAAGTAGCAAAGCTTGAGTGAGGATTTGATCCAATCAGTTGAGGTTGGGCGTAAGAAAAGTTATTCCAGGCACAGAGATCAGGGGACTCAGAGCACTGAGTAGACAATAGTTGGAGATGGCACAGTGTGTGAAAAGGGTTCTGTGAAGCAATGACAGGCTGAAACTAGGCTATCATGAGAAGGGAATCAATGTCCTAATGGAGAAAGGTGAGCTTGACAGGGACAGCACAATCTTAGAGCCTGCTAGGCAAGTGAGCCTGAGTCTAGCTGGGGTTTAGGAAGGTGAATGGAAGCATGATAAGAATCGAACAGGACTGAACTCGGGGAGGACAGGAAAAGCTATGCAGAACTCCACACGTGCTAAGGCATGGATAATGATTCACAGGAATACACTCAAATATAGGTTAAATATAATTTATTTGGGGGAGAAGTCACTTACACAAGAAGTAGATGGCTGCTGCAGGTTCCCACTCTAAGGATCCACACAGGCTGCTCCCTGTGACCCGACTGGATGCAAGAGAGAGCCAGCTGCCTGGACTCCAGACCTCAGACCTAAACTTACTCCCAGTAACATCCTCACCCAAATGGGCGTGGTCAGCACTACAGGTGCAGGGAGGGGGAGAGGGAGAGGGAAATGGGGCAGTGGATTTCTCACTACAATTCCCCTTTGTAAGGATAACTCTTTCCGCCAGCCACCCGAGTTCCACCCACAGTGTTAGGGCCCCAAATAACACACAGAGATTAATATTATTTACAATGCTACTGGCCAATGACTAGGATTTCTTACTAGCTCAGTTTATTATCAACCATAACTATTAATCTATATATTGTATAAGAACTTATCTTATTGGATGCCAGCTGACAGGTGTCTTCTCTTGCTAAGATCACATGGCGGTTCCACAGAGAAGAGAGAAGGAGGAAGAGAGCTATTTCCTGCTTGTCCCTACTTATATTCTGAGTCGGCCTGCTAATTCACTTCCTGCCTGGATCACAAGACTTCTCTTTACTACATTTCCCTAGCCCCGCCAAATTTGCTTCCCTATTGGCCAACAGTACTTTATCAACCAATAAGACAAACATATGCATAGGACATCCCCCATCACCTCTTTTAGTTTAAATAAAAAGATTTAGGCTTGATATGAAACTATATACAAAGATAGCAAATATCAAGTTTGCTCTAGGGAAGAAAATGTAAGAATGTACACACTTAAGACCAATTACCAGTGAAGCAGCTAGAGCAAAAGGCAAGAACTACATATCCCATTCTAGGATAAAGGCATAACAGAGATTACTATAGAGATGTCCTAAGATGGAAAGTTTAAGTCTTGTACCTAATGTTTCTATCTAGGAAGAGAGAACAATAATTGTGACAGTCTAATCTTCAACCTCATCAAAGATCTGAGAAGGAGGATAACAAAAGTAGGGTAGGCAGGAAGTGCAGGTGAGTAACTTCCAAAAGGTGCAGGGAAGACAGAAACAGCAGGCAGGCTACCTGGACAGTCACCCAAAGTCTCACAGCAGTAAGGGGACAACCAGCTTTGGCTAAGGCCTGGAGTATCTGACTGACCAACACAGAAGCAGGGAGGTAGAAAGGCTGTCTTAACCTGACTTGGCAAGGTTCAGTAGTCTTCTAATTTATCTCCTGCAAGCACAGTAGGACAAAATGTCCAAGGTGGGGGCAGTTCTTTTCCTAAGAGGCCAATAGCCGAGGAGAGAATGGACTCCAAAAGGAGTGTCAACAGTGCCCAACATATACTCGGGAATGGCTTGGTGCTGTCAGGAGCAATTGCATCTCATGTCAACGGAGAACTAATATTAAAAACATTTAAATGCCATATTCTGCAGGTCTATGAAGTGTTTGAAGATCAAATATCTATGTCTGACTAATCTCATAGATGAGAAACATGGGTGGTAATAGTCTGTAATTCTCAGAAACATAGTTGTACAATGGCTGAAGCTTCCCAAAATAATTTAACCAGGACAATGACTTCAAAAAGTTAACGATATGCACATATGTATAATTCTCAATAGCAGAGATAGAACTGAAATGTCTTGACTAGAGGTAGAACTGTAAAGTGCAATATGATAAGATATCCTAAGTTGTATCAATAAACAAAATATATATACATCAAGATATCCTAAGTTGTATCAATATACAAAACATCAAGATAGTTTATATTTGAGTGCAAATCATCATAAACAGAAAGAAGACCATAAACAGTCAACATACAATAATGTAACAATTTAAGTTATCTATAGCTAACAGTTACTAAAGTTAGTTCACTAGAAAATATGTTAATCTACCTATATCCCATCCTAACCATACCTTTCCCATCCATAACTTAAACTTATCTAAAAGAGATACCCGAGTCTGAACATCACCTTCCATACCCAACCCTAAACAACTAAAACCAACCTTATTCAGAATATCATTCCTTAAAGCCAACAGTAGGGGAAAGGGGTGTTGTTTTCTTAGGATTATTTCCTGCTGAAATAGGATGACCATAACTCCATGGGATCCTGTAGGGGAAAAAAATTAGAGCAACAAAAGTCTGGAGAGACTAGTCATAACATTTGTAGCTAGTCTCTGCATGGCAGGAGATGCCCAGCTAGCTCAGTCAGCAGAGCATGAGACTCTTAATCTCATAGGTCATAGGTTTGTGCCCCACGTTGGGTACCAGATGCTGAGGCACAGATAATGATTCATGGGACTAGGTTCAAATATTAAACATAATTTATTTGGGGGAGAAGTCACTTACACAAGAAGCAGATGGCCACCGCAGGTTCCCCCTCTAAGGATCTGCTCAGGCTTTTCCCTTTGACCTATCTGGATGCAAAAGAGATACACCTGTCCTGACCCCAGACCTAAACTCACTCCCAGTCACGTCCTCACCTGTGACCTCGCACAAATGGGCATGGTCAGCGCTACAGGTACGGGCAGGGTGGCTATCTCACTACACACAGGAAAAGCAATTTAAGGACTGGTGATCAGAGAAGTAGTGGCACCATCACAAGCCTATGGAGCATAGGCAAGACAAGCAGGAATTTTGGTAGGAGTGAGCTCACCAAGACTCAGCCAAGCAGCTGCTGGCTGGTTGTGCCCAGACACTATAGAAACAAAAGGAGGAAGAAAATCGGCCTTTGCTGAGAAGAATGCAAGGCACTACAATGTAGAAATAACAGAAAGGAGGGAGGGTGATTGCTTAAGAGAATGTGCCCACAAGGAAAAATTCTCATGGAATTTCATCTGTCTGCTTCCTGATGGATGAAATACAGTATTTGAAGGGGACTAATAGGGCACCAGCTGAGAGTGGGTGTTTCAGACAGGCCTTGCAGGTGGGGCTGGTGATGGGTGGTTGATGGGAAGAACAGCTGTGGCAGCTGTCCCCTAAACTTGACCTCCAGTGCCACACAGAGTTGAGTCAGCACCTACCAAAGCAGGTCAGGAGGCTGGAGAGATGGCTTGGTAGTCAAAAGTGCATATTGCTTTTGCAGAGGATCCCAATATGGGTCTCAGCAGCCACCTGTGGCACCTCACAACCACCCCAGCTGCAGGAGAATCAGATACTTATGC